CACACAGTCCTGCCCTGCTCTCAGTGTGCAGTGCTACCCACAATCCTGCCCCTACCATCTCACTGTGCAGTGCTGCACACAGTCCTGCCCCCACCATCTCACTTTGCAGTGCTGCACATAGTCCTGCCCCCGCCATCTCACTCTGCCATGCTGCACACAGTCCTGCCCCCATCGTCTCACTCTGCAGTGCTGCACACAGTCCTGCCCCCACCGTCTCACTCTGCAGTGCTGCACACAGTCCTGCCCCTGCCATCTCACTCTGCAGTGCTGCACACAGTCCTGCCCCTGCCATCTCACTCTTCAGGGCTGCACACAGTCCTGCCCCCACCGTCTCACTCTGCAGTGCTGCACACAGTCCTGCCCTGCTCTCACTGTGCAGTGCTACCCATAATCCTGCCCCCACCGTCTCACTCTGTAGTGCTGTACACAAGCATGTGCTTCTTTTCTGCCAATGGTGGATAATGTCACCTTAATGTTCTCTAAATGTCAAGGGTTCTTTCTTTTTGATGGTAGAGCAATATAAAAATCAACAAATTTAATTTTACTACAGTCACAGTTTTCAGATTCCCTAATTACCCTTGGCTATAAGCAAAGCAGCTCATCGCTCTATTCTGTGCAGCCCCCACGGTCTTTGATCAGTTTTAGTATGTGTGTGGGGGAGAGGGAGAAAGAACAAGAGAAAGGTGGTTTGGATCTATTCATCAAAATGCATAGCAGGGCCCAGGTAGATTTTTTAAATTATGAAAGTAATCACTCACCTCCTTAGACACTACTCCCCTCCCTTCACCTCCTACCGTTCTGCTGGTGAGTACGTTTAGGAGACTGAGAGGTGGCAAACAATTCACCACACTAAGAACAAATTTCAAATGGAGGTGAATATACTCTGCCCAGAGTGTGATTACTAAGAACCAGTAAGAGACCTTTCTAACCAGCAATATAAAATACAGACATTTCTGCATTTGAGGGCAAAAATGAGTTAAAAATGATCAGGAACCTTAGTCCACCAAGTTACCTTCCTACTATTTCTATACTGCTATTCCCTCGAGTATAGAGTTAGGATGGGTGGGACTGTCCAACATGGAAATCAGCACTGAGGTGCAGAGAGAGGAGAACACCCATGGTGAACTGGAAGCACCAGTGAGGCGCCACAGAGTCAAACTCTTTAGTGAGGCTGAAATAAATCCAGCCTGTAAAATTTGCTTTCTTGGAATGATTTTTTAAAAAAATCTTACACTATAAATATTCAGTTAGTTAAAAAAACTTGATGAAAAATCTTGGAGTCATTCACGGTTATCAATATAGCATATTGAACACGGCCTAATGAAAACATTTATTATAACAACCCTAAGCCAAATCCATGTTTCATTTTTTAAAAAAGCATAATGCACATTGCTCCATAGAAGGATAAACTATGCATCAATTTTTTATAAGCCAAATGATATTTTAAATGCACTTAGGGTCCTGTTCTAAGTGCAAGTTTGAGTATCTAATGAGAACACCTCCACTGTTAAGAGCCAATAAACACCCAGGATACGTTAAGCACTTTAGACCCCTGTGAAGACACTGTCCCTCTAGGCAGGGGTCCCTTCACACAAAGGTAACATTACAAAAGTGCTTTCCAGGGAAGGGGCTAGCCCCTGACTATCTCCTAAACAGGCAAAGAAGTCTCAGGAACTTCTTACCCCAGGAACCCGGGCACTGGGAAGGGAACTTTTGTCTGCAGTGGGGTTATTTCAGATGCACATGAACTACTGATTTAAATTGTGTTGGTATTTCTGACTCTCTTTCCCCCCTCAGTTCTAGATGCACCACAAAGCATTCATGAACCTCACAGCATAAGCATCTCGCTGTACTCAGCATGAGTCTACTGCACAGAGATACAGCATGGACCCTGCAACAAAAGCCAACTCCTTCGAAGAAATAACCATCCCTTTCAAAGCCAGAGGGAAATCTGGCTTTCTCCTTCATCTTACGGGTGATTGCCTTTGAAAGACATTTTCAAGGGTAATTTTGACAATTCGACTATTTGATATTGTCCCTCACTCTGAACTCTGGGTCAGACACAACTTCAAATGACACACTCATGCATCAACAACTGAGAATCTGCTCCCTTCGCATGTTCTGAGTGCCATGAGCAGATCCCATTGAAACCCGGCTGTGGAAGTGAAGGCCAGCTCCAAGGTCGAACTGAAGGAAGGATAGTTTCCCACATGGCCAAGTACTAAGGAGGCGTCTGGGACCTCGGATCTTAGCTCTTGGAGAAGTAGGGCTGCAGAGGGAGCCTAGGAGCACACATACTCCTCACTACCACCTGCTGGGACACTAAGCACTCAAGAGTCCCTTCTCCAGATGAGGACGAAGACAAGTGGCAGAGAAGGACGGCAGCATGGTACCGGGGGCCTACCTGACAGAGTGGAGCTGCTGATGGTGCTGGCAGGGGTGGTGACCTCAGGGTCCTCCTGCGCCCCCTCTTCAGGAGGAAGGGCTGGCTTCTCTGGCTCCTCTCGGGGGTCTCCAGGGCAGGGGACAGCTTCACCTTGTTCTGCTTCTGTTGAAATAGCCAGTTTGGGAAGCAGGCCAGAGCTGAGTTTGCGTCTGTTGCTTTCAGTATCTGAAGAGTTGGATGTTGATAACTGTTGCCTTAATTAAAAATGAAAACACAGTCATATATACATACTAGAAAACTGTTACAGGTGAATTATGAAAGAAGCCAGGTAAAAATGGGACTTGGTTAAGCCTCTAACCAAGACCTGTCTAGGGCAATGGTTCTTAGAGTGTGGCACCCAGAACCAGCCGCACCAGCAGCACCGGTGTGACCCGGGGACTTGTAGGAAATGTATATTTTCAGGTCCCACCCCAAATCTACTGCAGCAGAAACCCTGGGAGTGGGCCCAGCAGTCTGTGTTTAACAAGCCCCATGTACTCTGACGCTCACTAAAGTCTAACAAACGCTACGCTAGTAGCCGTTGCTTATGATATGATTTAAGAGGCATTTCACATACATTTCAGAATATTCTGAACTCCAGCTTAATGTTTCCGTGGATGGCAAGGCTGTGCTTTTGGTTTTGTCTCCTGAGTCTTCCTTTTCTTCTCCTGAATTCTGAGTTATTCGATCTATACTGCTGAAAACCTGGAAGGCAAATAATCCGTGCTTATAAATATCTTTTAGGAAAGAGTTTGTCAGAAAAAAAAAAATAACAAAAAAAAAAAAACCCTCTCATCTTAGGAGAAAAACCTGAGAAGATAACTAAATTTTTAACTGAAACCATGTATTCAGAAAGCACTTTCCACTGATGTTTGCTTGAATCCTGAGATGAAGGGTCACAGAGTATACTTTTTTTTTTTTTTTTTTTTTTTTTTTTGAGCAGGGAGCTATGAATTCATCAGCCTCTTTCACCATATCTCATTGTGGACTTTGTATCTGTAAACTAAATCCATAGATGTGCTGGGGTTTCTAGGCCTGGGAATCGATACACATCTTAGATTACTTTTTAACCATGAAGTCAATCGGAAAAAGAAAATAACAGAGAAAAAGATTTAATGGCCACCAGTCAGGGATAGGAAGAAGAAAAATGAATTGGAATTGAGTGCAAAAGCAAAGAATAAATTATCTTGTTCAAGACTTGGGTAGGGGAGGGAGAAGGCAGGGATGTAGCACCTGTGTGGTTATAAGAGCCAGACATCATTATTATTATTATTATTATTATTTTGGCTTATAAATCACACATGCAGATGGGCAGCCTCATGTGATGGTACCTGAAGGGGATCAGAACTCAGGAAAGGCCAAGGTCTCAGCCCCCTCTGAATCTCTGCTGTCCCATAGAAAATACGGAAGGAAAATGGGCTTGCTGAGGGCCAGTGCAGAGAGCCCTACCACCCTATTCAGCCTCCTGTGCACTGACAGGAGTGGGCCTCACACCTCCTGTTAATCTACTGGGATTAGAAAGTGGGAAAAGAAATACCATCCAAGGCAAAGAGAGAAAGTGGTTAGGGGTTGGCTTTAATTAACCAGAGAACAGGTCCTGGTCTGAGCCCACACACAGTTAGCAAAGCTCCTATCCTGGCTCAGGGACAGACCGGCCACTCCCTACTTCAGGGAAATCCCCACTCGTCTCATTCCTATAAACAGAGGGGACAGTGCTGGCCAATCCACTGCCTCTATGTAATCACTCGAAAAAAGCTATGGAGCACTTTAAAATCACTGAATGCTACAGAAAAACTAAATAATAATCACACAAAATGCCATAGCAACAGAAAATGTGTTGCTACGAAAAATAGCAGAAGGGAGGTAGGATGCCTCTGGGTTGATTTCCATCTTTCCTGGGGCCCCATCCTGTCTCAGAACCATCAGTTTTGTTTGTTTGTTTTGATTGCTTTTTAATCTCATCATTATCAGTAAAAAGACATCTTCCTCAAGAATCCATTTTAATAATCTTCTACCATTTCCGAAATTCTAGCTTGGCTTCCTACTGCCTTTTCAAGATGACTTATAATTTCTATTACTGGTTATGAGACTCTCTGATTCCAAAGTCAACTGTCCCCGAGTATCTCTGCTGATGTCAAGGACTGAGCCCTTCTCCTGGTGTGGTACTCTGTGTGATTCCTAGGCGAGGGCTCTGGGCACAGTGAAGCTCGCGTTGTTCATCATAGGATGAAAGAAGTGGGATCCCGCCTCCACAGCCTGGCACTGAGACAGGCCGAGGGACATGCAGGGCAAGGTTATCACATAAGTAGCAGCCACACATTCCAAAAAAGATGACCGGGCAAAAGGATCACAATTGGTGGAGAGGGAGAAACACACTTCCACAGCAGGGTCCCCACTCCGGACTTTCAAGTTGATGAGGTCACCTTTCCTAAACAAATAGGAATTTGAAACCAAGGAGACTCAACCTCCCCTCCCCACCCCACCCCAAAGGACAGGCTGCTTTACAATCCTAACCAGCTGTTCAAGGGTACAAAATATCTGGCCAGTGGGAGTTTCTCCCAGAGAGACTGCCTGCTTCCGCCACGTTTCACTTACTTTTGAAAATCTATGTGAACAAGAAGAAAACTGCCTGATTTCCACACTGAAGTCCTCGTCATTGGTGTCATCTTCTTCTTCTGTCTCCATATGATGATACTTCTCTGACCGAGCTACAGAGAGACGTTTGGGAACAGTTCCAATTACTTAAAAATTCCAGCTTCTAATTTAGAAATTGTAAAACGTGTATCTGTATCGCATCAATATTGTCTTTAGGAACCCATCGATAGGAGATCGGGAGGCTGAAGAGTAAAGCTAATTTTTGCCCCAGTCAGGTCCAAACAATGTTTTACGTCAGGGAATGCACATACTGTCAAAATAGCTGGTGTCATCCTCAGATTCCAGTTGGGGAATAAATTCTGCCTTCTGTCTCAGCAAACTGTTCCAGTCTAAAGAACGGAAGAATCGGTGCTGTTTGACTTCATAGGCACCACCTGGTGGGGGGCGGGTACAGACAGAGAAGAAAGTGTTAAACTAACTTGCAAACAAGGATAAACATCAGTTTTTAAGAACAATTTTAAAAAACATATCAGCAGAGAAATAAAGATGACATGGAAATCATCCTTCTTCACTCTATAACCAAAACTCCCCCAATTTTTCTGATAATTTATCAGATTTGATTTTGCTAAGAGCAGTTGTTATGGCACAGTTTCCCTCTGTTAATTTTTCCATGACTTCCTCCATTTTTCAAAGGTTAATGATGTGGCCACTTAAAATCGCATTATGCCAAACCTGGGGATGTGGATGCATGTTGGCCCAAAGCAGACTCATTAAAAACTAAAAGAAATTCTAACAAGGTATAAAATGTGCTCATAGCAATATTTCCTCTGGAGGTAAGGTTAAAAATAATGACATTTTTCTAAATACCATACATAGCAGCTACCATTCATTTTTATTGGCTTGCTCATTAACATAGGTAGGAATTAGAATTCTGTAGATTACAGATTCTTAAGTAGGAAACTGACAGGCCTGATTTACAGATTTACAATGCCTCTAATAGAAATCAATCATAATTGCTAAGTTTCAGGTTACTTTTTGCTAAGTCATCATGATAGCATAATTCGGTGAAAATTTGTACACTCAGTTCATGATTTCAAAGATCAGGCCCTATGACAAGCACATCCCAGGGGAAGAGAAGAAGGTACATGGCTATGAAATCACAGCAGGACAATAGACCCCACTCTATGACCAGCACACACACTGTTGTGGGGAGAGAAAACAAAGAATCAATCCAAAAAAAAAAAATTAAGAAAAGAGATTTCTCAGGAGACAAACACCAGGGTCTAATCCTCCCCCGACTAGGAGATTTCCTTTAGGTCCAATGTTAAATGATTCTTTATTGCAGGTGTCACCCAGGTCTCGTTCTGTCCTTGGTGGAGCACAAAAGGAACAGGATGAGAAATGCAAGCTGAATGAAGAGGGGCTGTGGGTCTTGGGTGGGTGGTGGTGGGTGCTGTCAGTGTGTTCAAGGCTGCAACTCTCTCGGCATCGTGCCCTTGCTAGCACAAGGCAGAGTGTGGGCTCTTGCTCCAAACACAGCCAGGACAAACCATGCCCTGATGACAGCGGAATGACTAAAGGGCAAAGTGGGGAAAGCAACCCCGAAAAGAGAAGAATGGATTCTTCTTTATAAAGCATATGATTATATTCTTTATCCAAGATTCTAACCAGGTGTTTTCCATGTTTCTAGCAAAATAAAGAGGTCTGACATTAAGCATTAGCAACTCTGACTGAAAGGTTGGCTTTATGACCAATATTGTACTGGATGCCATAGTTACGTTGTTTCTTTTAAATTACACTGAAAATTAGCCCAGGAGATAGGCACAATCAACTTCATTTGTGGATGCGTAAACAAAGTATAAGCAACAAAGCTCACGGGACCAAGATGCACTGATGGGGGGGACCCAGGGGGCGGAGCCCTGGCCTGTGGCCCAGTCACTCCCCCTGCCACAGTAGGAGGCAGCACACTTTAGTTTGCTCCCACTCTGCTACCTCCTGGTTTGTAAATGGATCTGCAACGGCCAACACCAAGGAACCGGGCGGACAGCAGATTGTCCGACTGCTCCACAGCATGTCTGCACAATCTCACTCCCGCCCACCGTGCTGCCTGGCTTCCACCCGGCCCTGATCAGTGCCCTAAACACAGCTCATGGTGTCAGTTTCTTCCAGTGCTCTTTTACTTGGAGAAGCAGAATATCAAAGCCAAGATTTAAGATAGGGTGCTCCCTATCCAGCTCCCCCACTGCACTGATGACACTGAGGTCCACAGGGTCAAGCCCTAATTAGTGGCCATCATGTACATCTCTGGACTCCTAGCCCAGCAACGACTGCACTATACCACAATGTCCACCACTTCAGCTGCTGCTCACGGGGCTGGGTCAGTGGCCCAGCCCTGACATTTCTGGTTGCTCAGCTTTACCTAGGAAAGCAATTTCTTTGGGCCAAGGGCTCAATAGACTGTCTAGACCACATTTAGAGAGTTGGGGCCATAGTACCTTAACTGCCACCCTCTGGAACTCAAGCTGGGTCATCTCTGTGGACCATGACAAACAGGTCCTCCCTAAGGCCTCACAGCCTGCCTCTCATCTAGTTGACATTTCTCATTCTTTGTCTCACTGAAGAAGCTGGCTATCAGTGGGTCCTCTTTTTCATATTAAAGGTACAAAACCAGGGGAAATACCCTCTGGGCCAAACTGTTGGTAAAATATGGGTGATGGTATTATGAGCTAAATACAAATCACTCATGCAAACAACAGCTCTCTTTGGAGCATTCCCATGAAGGAAAGGGGAGGAAACGGATTATTCCTTGAGCTCCTATTATGTATGGCACTAGGTCAGTGTACTAGAAACCTTCAAGAACTTCTTTGCATTTACTCCTGACAATGGTCCTGAGAGGTCTATAAAATGCCCTTTTTCATAGACTAGGGCAGTGAAGAAACTAACCGAGATCTCACAGCTGGTATGTGGGTAGGAGCCACATCTGAGCAGCTCTAAAGTCCAAAGAGCCAAGCTGCCACTCAAGTGTCTACAAGTTCAGAAGTATCATTTAAGAAGGACAAGTTCCCAAATTGCAAGTTATGCTTTGGCAGTGACGTTCTCCCTTTTCTCTCCTTTCATGGAAGTTTCTTCAACATCCATTACGTTCTTCACACCCGTTTTTCTCAGCCTCCCTAGTCTCTTGGGCAAATGTGCATTTGCACATTTTCACGGTGAATTATTTTGCCTGCTAAATATGCATTCAATACAAAATGCTGTCACTGGAAGTGGCGTGGCAGGCCTGCGGATGCTCAGCCTCATTCTCTGGGCCCTACTGGGACCTGTCACGTTGGACCCGCTTGTTTGCCAAGCCCTTCCTGACAATGCTAAGAGATGGAAGGGTCTTTTAAATGTCTCCTTCTACTGGGGGATTTGTTCCCCAAACTGTCAAACCCCGCAAAGACTGAATGTAGCAGTCAGGGAGAAAATGTGCAGATAAAAAACTTGCAGCACATGATTGAAGAACACGGATGTGCTGACCATCGCCACAGCCCTGCCTTGCTACACTCGGCCTCATCAGGACTCTAAGTATTCTTGGAGGAATACAGGTTGAGTATCGCCAAGCTGAAAATCTAATGTCTAAAAGCTCCCAAATTGGAAACCCTCTGGGCACTGACAAGACGCCACAAATGGAAAGTTCCCCCTTGACCCCAGTAATGAGTTATGGTCCAAGATGTGTGTGGTGGGCTTACTAAGGACCAGCTCGGTGTGTACTCACAACAGAACAAGAAGTCACTCAGTTCATAGATTCAAAGAGGGATTTTTAAGGCAAAAACAGTTGTTAGTAGGCTGATGACTCTGGAGGAAACTTTTTGAAAATCCACCCAGCAGAGCACCTCCCCATCCCTAGAGCGGACCCCCTCCCTGGTTCCTCAACTGCACCTGTTATTTTTTCTCACCTAGAAAAATAAAATGCAGTGTACGGGAACCTTTAATCCAAACACAGCGCCACAGAGCCTGCCCGCCTGCCCCTGCTGGTTGCTGCTGTTGCTGAAGAGCCGAGGTGGCTGTTCTGGGGGTGCTTCTGTGCTGCTCAGTTACCCTGAACACGTTAGTTTTTCACTGTATTAATGGTATGCTGTAGTTTTTAGTGTTACGTATTTATGTGTGAATAAAGTATAAGAAAATGATTACTTATGGGTAGCATACAAACTCAGAGCCAGGAACGGAGGTGATGCCAAATACCACAGAAGGGTCACTTGGGTGGCTGAGATAGTGACACCTTCGCTTTCTGATGGCTCAGTGTGCACAAACTTTGTTTCATGCAGAAAATTATTTAAATATTTCACAGAATTACCTTCAGGCTATGTACTTAAGGTACAAATGAAGTATAAATAAGTTTCGTGTTTAGACTTAGATCCCAAACTACAAAGACTTCATTAGGTACATGAAAGTATGTCAAAATCCGAAAAAGTCCACAAATGAAAATACATCTGTCCCCAAGCATTTCAGATAAGGAATATTCCCCTTGAATTAAGCAGAGAAACTCCACAAACTGACACTTGAACACGAAAAAGAAGAGGACTTTTCAATTTCCTTCAGAAGGGGTCTGCCCATTCCATTATAGTTTCAGACAGATGTTAGGAAGACATTTCTCTGGATTAATTGCACAGGATATGTAAATAAATATGTGTATTATTGCAGGGAAATCTTCAAATGCCACGGCTTCTCATATTTGGCTCAAGTGAGTAAAAATCAGTTGTTAAAATGTTGCCCCATTTGATAGCTACTCACAATTCTTAAAGCATAAAGCCAATCCAACTGCAGATCATAGAGGGTGGGATATGATCCGTTTGCTAGTCACTCCAGACAAGGGGACAAGCAGTAAAGGTGGGAAGAAACAAAGTCCTCTCTCCAAAGAGGTCAAGGCAGGGGAGCCACCACCATGCCTATGTCTTCTATGTCCAAGATGAAACGCACGAGCTTATACATTCAGAAAATTAAAACAGTGCCAACAGCATCATATTTGGTTCTAAAAGCCTTATGGGGACGACTTCTTTTTATCTGCACAATAATCCTATGAGGTGGTGCTTTTAAAAGCTCCTTTTCACAGAGGAAGAAAATAAAAAGAAATACTTTGCCCATGATCACACACCTGGGATTTATCTATTTGTTTTTATTATTTTTTCTTTTTTGAGACGGAATCTCAAACTGTCACCCTGGTAGAGTGCCCTGGTGTCAGAGCTCACAGCAACCTCTTACTCTTGGGCTCAAGTGATCCTCTTGCTTCAGTTTTTCTTTTTTTTTTTTGGACAGAGTCTCAGTTTAATGCCCTTGGTAGAAGAGTGCCATGGCACTCACAGCAACCTCCAACCCCTGGGCTTAGGTGATTCTCTTGCCTCAACCTCCCGAGAAACTGGGACCACAGGCACCCACCACAATGTCCGGCTATTTTTTGTTGCAGTTTAGCTGGGGCCTTGTTTGAACCTGCCACCCTCGGTATACGGGGCCGGCACCCTACCCATTGAGCCACAGGTGCTGCTCTTGCCTCAGTTTTTCTATTTTTAGTAGAGACAGGGGTCTCAATTTTTGCTCTGGCTGGTCTCGAACTCGTGAGCTAAAGCAATTCACCTGACTCGGCCTCCCAGAATGCTAGGATTACAGAAGTGAGCCACCACGCTGGGCCACAGCTGAGATTTAAACTCAGGCTGTCTGATTTTGGAGTTTGTGACCTTAACCTCAATTTATATTGGCTTTCTAATGTAAAAGTCCACTTAACCACTGAAAAGGTAAAAAGTTACAGGTACACTATTCTAGTAAAAGGCTCAACTCAAAATAGTTTCCAATTAAGCTCTGATCTTAATTAAGCCTTCTTGGATTCTCTGATGCAGGTCTACAAATTTTTTGTTGTAAAAGAACAAAGAGATAATACTTTAGTCTTTGTAGGGCATATAGTCTTCCATGACTACCTATGGCCTGTAGCATAAAAGCAGCTACAGACACTATCTAAATGAATTATCATTGCTGTGCTCCAATAAAACTTTACTTACAAAAACAGGTAGTGGGCTAGATTTGGCCCATAGGCCATAGTTTGCTATCCCTTGCTGTGAAATATTATAAACTCTAGTAGCACAGAATTGTATCCTTAAGAACAGCACCCTCTGACAGGGGAATCTCTGAGTAAATGTAGAGAATAATACAAAATAAATATTTGGAGCTGTTGCAAATGATTTTTGTCTTAGGAAAAAATAGGGAAGAAAATTGTCTCTTTAGTATTTTCTTTTACTTCTATTAAAATGGAATAGAATGAAATAGCTCAGAGTACACAACCCACCAAGCCAACAATTTTCACTGATGAAAATTATGGATGCTGACTCGAGTATGTGCATTTATATTTAATATTTTAGTTCCATCTAAAATTTACACACTCTGCTAAATATGTGATAAATTTAAATATGATAAATTTACATACTTGGGCAGGCTGAGACTGTATACTGGGATCCTTCGGTCTATATATTCAGAATACAGGGAAGAAAACAAAAAATTGCTACCAGAACAAGTTAGAAAAAATAATCAGCAAGAAAAAAATCTACTATCTCCTTAATCTTAAAAGGCAGTGGTTTTTAATTCTCTTTCTTGGGTCACGGTACTGATCACCCTGATGGGACCACATGGTTCAACCCCAGGTGCTCATTCCTACTAATTAGTTCAAGTACTGATAACCCATTTCAAAGCCTGTGGATAGTAACATGCTGGGTCAAATCCTTATGGGAACATATATTAAAAAACAAAAAGAGCCCTGCTAATCTAATCTCCTGTTTTAAGTTACTTAAGATGCATGCTTTTCAGGACAGAAGAGTTATGGGTGCCCTTGAAGTTTTCTTCCAGAGCAGTTTTATTTATCCAAACAAATGAATAATTTCTACTTTATAAAACATTCAAGGAACAAAAAACAAACAACCAACTCTTCTAGCATACATACTACTCTGAATCAGAAAACAAAATCCAAAATATTACTGCTGTAATGTGATGTAGTCGTGTTCTACACCAACTAACAGATGTTGCCTGTGCAAAAGCAAAACGCAAACAAAAGCCTCAGTGTTCCACATAAATGTTATTTCTTGCATATTAGCACAATTAAAACACATGTGCTCTAACCTGTTCCCAGCCTCTCCAGGGGATTCTGCCTGAGAAGCAAGGTAATCAGATCCTGGGCGTCGGGCGGGGGGGCCTCATCCTTTTCAGGCCAGTTGATCTCATCTAGAAGGAGGAAAAGTAGTTTATAATTTCATTGTTTAAAGGGTGATCTAGGTCTTGATCGGACGGATATCACCTGGAAGTTTGTCAGAAATGCAGAATTTCAGGTCCTATCCCGGACTTACTGAACCCACATTTTAATAAGGTCTTCAGTTAATTCCTATGCAAAGTCTGTTTTATAACACATGAAAAGCACAGCTTTCATAAGGCAGGGAGAGGATAGTTCAATAAGCGATATCTTTCACTCGTTTTGATTCATTGTCCTTTTACAGAATTGGCTCCCAATAAGTCCTCACAAATATAGAGAAGACTGTGTAGAACGGAAACTCAAAAGCACCCATCTGAGGATTATCTAAGGGGAAGATTTTCTCTCAATTTCCTCAACTGAGAAATTTGGTCCCATAGCATTCTTCAGCTTTAAGAAACAAAAAGTAAATTTGTAAAAATAAGTATTTCCAGAGACAGAGGCAAGGTCAAAATGCTAAGATTCAAAAAGAAGCAGAAGAAGGGCGGGGAGGTAGGGGACAAAACCAAAGTAATCATAGTAATGGAAGTAGTTAAAATCCGTCATAAATATTAGAATATGTTCTCACTCTAAAGGAGTTTGCCTGAAGATAGGTGTGAGTGCTTGCGTGTATGGAAATGCAATAAAAACATGAGTTATTTCTGTGTGCGCCTGCCTCTAGCTTCCTCTGCTGCAGTTTAAATCTGATTTGGAAAATAAAACATGAATATGCATCGGAGCCGTAAGGCATCAAGCACAAAGCCAGCATTTGCTGCTTGTGTTAATTAAACAGTTGATTCCCCTTGCCACTCAGGCCTTGGTATCAGAAAACAGCCTAGTTATAAATCCATAAACAGCTCAGATATTGTATAAAGGGCGTACACACTGCAGGCAACTCACAAATCTGCTTTGTTAAAGTTTACAAATATGCCTGGCTTGCAAAGTCAACGACAGAAAGCAATGCCGTGATAAAGGGGCTCCTTATACACAAAATGGGTTTCCACCAGTTCCACTGCTAGACCTTGTCAGGACAGTCCAGAACAGAGCAGGGGTGGTGGATAAGGATGCCAGGGATGCGGGACAAACTTTTAGGAACAGAGGGCTTTTGATCTATGCTTGGGGGCAGGGCAGGGGAAGATTTTTTTAAAAAACAGCAGGTACGGTAGTGATAGATCCTATTTAATTCTCATTTAGTTTTGCCACAAGCCACACAACAATAGTTAGGGTCTGCTTGCAGGTTAAGATCTAAAAGTTATTGAATTTTAAATGAAAGATGAACAGCTGTTACAGAAATAACATTACACCATAACAACTACCAATGAAATCATTAACAATCTGTGGATTCAATTTGCTTCCTTCCTATTCTCATTATTTATTATTTGGTAGACATTTGTTTTAAGGTTTATTATATTTTTGTAAATTGCGTCATTGTGCCATTAGCTACTTTTTCCACTTATATAAATGTTACCCACATTAACCTTTTCTTCCCTGGTGCAACTTGCCTACTATGGAAAGACTGGATGACAGTTAAATCACTTGCAAATCCCACACCAATTTCTTTTGCAGAAAAAAACCAATGATAAAAGGTGATTCCATTGCGAGTACATTTCCAAATTCCATGTTAACAGAACTTCCTTGGATCAACTTTCAACAAAAATGGCTCTTTTGAGGTTGTTGATGTCAATTCTATGCTGTGATGAGCACATTCTTTTAATTTGTTGGCTCAACTGTTTGATAAAGGTTAACATTTTAGGAGTGAAAACTGCGACACTCAACAGATTTACATACTCAATAGCTGTTTCCCCAAAGTGGCTTAAAGATAATTCTTGATGATATTTACCACTGATGACTTGCCCAAATAGCTCTTCTGGAGTATCCCCAAAGAATGGCACACATCCAACAAGAAATTCATAGAGGATAATCCCCATGGACCACCAGTCCACTGGCTTCCCATATCCTTGCCTCAGAATCACTTCTGGTGCGATGTATTCAGGTGTGCCACAGACCTGAGAGATGATTGCAATATTAGGATAATTGGAATATTAGACATGAATTAAAATGAGCAAGATGGTTAACCACCAATTATTTTGCCCAGAGTACACCTGCTCAACCACATGGACCCACACAGGCAAAAAACTTAAGCACGACAATTATCAATAGCTATCTGTAATACTGAGGCAAAAAATTACACATTCTGCTCTAATGTTGAATTACATATAAAGTTTAATTTCACAGGGAGAATCTGACCTTGTTTGGTAGTTTTACCTCTTTCATATATTAAAAACATTTGTAATCTTGAAATTTATAATAATGTGTTTGAAAATCTGTCACTATCAGAGATTCCTTTTTGTGTTCATATAACCAAACTGTATTCACTCTGGCTATTTCACAGAAGCAGTGACAGTTAAGATGTGTTTACCTTAAGTAACTTTACAATGAACAGATTGTGGGCACATGGTAATGAGGCCTGCTGAAAGGCAAATGGGCCGTGGCTTGGATTTAGCACCCGAGATCGCACAATGCATCATGAGTTTCATGAGTACCCTACTGAGACTCCTAAATTCCTTACAAAAACAGTTTTCCATTTGTCTCTCTCACACTCTCACTTGTGTGCAATCAGATCATTCGTCTTGCTAATAGACCATAATACTGGGGGAGGAATGTAGCAGGAGCAGACAGTTGGGAGAAGCCCAGGGAGAAAAATGGGAGCAATTTGCACTTTATTAAATGTAAGGTTTATACAGACATCTAGACCACCAGTCTGAACGTGGAGCTGGCTACACAAGTTCATTCTGAATCTCAATGGCAACACTGTGCTTTGTATTTCTCCACAGGCCTGAACAGCACCCACACGTACCTGTTTATCCAGGAACTCACGTGCATCCTTCTCAATATGACCCTCATAAAGGTTGGTGGTCATGCTCATTAGTCCCACTTTAGATAATCCAAAATCTGTCAGCTTGATGTGCCCCATGGAGGTGACCAACAAACTATGAAGCAGAAGGACATAGAATATACAACGGTCACTCTGAAGCTGGTTCTTCATTTTAGCTTTTCCCTCTCCCCAACATCAGTTTGTAAGACTATTTAACATACTGGTATCAGGCTGATTACAAATCTGAGCCTGGAAAAATACGAGGTCACGTAAAGATGTCAAATATTTGCATGTAGCACCTGAGTGTAATTTACAAGGGAAGAGCGGACACAAGGCGCTACCATCTTGTGTTGGTGCAGTCACGTGCAGCATCACTTACAACACTCTGAAACTCTTGGGAAAATTCTAGTATGAAACCGATCCCTTTCCTTTTTCAGAATAAGAACATTGGAAAGAAAGGGCTACCAATAATCTCCTGTCACACCTCAGGAACTAAGATAAGCAACCCATCTGTGAGTCAACTGACACACCAAAGAACGTCCACAGAAAAATGCAGTATAATCTCACAGTTCAACTTCCAGCTCTAATTTACATTTCTACTCATTAACCACAAAAACTAAACTTCTTCTATATGCAAAGAATTCACATTTGAATATATTTAAAAGTTTTTATTTTAAGTGGAAAAATAAAAGCTTCAAATAGTATATACAGTACCATGGCAATTAAAGAATTAAAGGAATATAGAGGTTTAAAAAAAGCCACTGGACAGGAAACATAACAAAATTTTAATAGTTGACTTTGGTAACCTTGTGAATAAATCTTTTTTTCTTTTTTCCCTTCATATTCCAAATTTTCTGATATGAGCATGAGTGACTTTCATAAAATTTTCAGTGCACTTAAAGTCTTGAATATTAACATGTAATGTTTTTAGAGGCATCTCGAATTAGTATGAAGCATGAAATACTTAATAAATGATGTCAAGATGAATAGCTTGTCATTTGGAGAAAAAGTCTATCTGTATCTCAAATCAAAATGAATTCCACATAAATTAAAAATTAATAAAAAAATTGTGAACAGAATATCAAGTATATCTTACAGTAGGGAAGGATTATGCCATAATGATAACCAAATGCTGAAACCATCCAGAAAACAACCAATAGCCTTGTACGTAGCTACTCAAAAATTTACATCATTAATGAAACTCATACAAAATATTAGCTGGATTTATTATCATGTTTTTCTCTTGTTTCTTATAAGTTATTCATTTAAGCATCATCATCACCTTTTGCCCATAAGTTTCCTGAGCTTCAAATAAGCATCAGATTCCTTAAAGAATTATGTAAAAATGAACATATACTGTAAAAACAAATAATTTTGGACATTATGGAAGAATTCTACGATGTGCAAACTGCATTAAAGGAAAATATTTTTATAGACATAAGAAAGCGTCTAGTAATATGCAAAAGAAGGTGTTTCATTAGTATACATACTTGTCTGGTTTCAAGTCCCTGTGTACAATTCCATAATTATGCAGATATTCCAAGGCCAAAACCGTCTCAGCAAAGTACATCCTGGCCATATCCACAGGAAGAGGGCCCATGTTTTTCATTAAGGTAGCACAATCTCCCCCTATAAAACAAACGACAAAGATTTAGTAGCCATCATAGCTAGGATTAACAAAGACCTTCAGTTTAGACTGAGACACATAGTATACATGTGTACGTATCATATGCATGAGTAGAGTCTGTGCTAAATAATCACGTTTCTAATTAAAATGTGGTATGGAGAAAATACAGATTTTTATTTAAGAAGCAGAACTGGTAAGCAAGCAGGTTTGGCTCTGAAGAGGAACTGTACTTTGAACAATTGCTAGCGTAATTTTAGGATGATGGTAACAAATTAAAATATACCAGGATAAAACATGGATTCTAAAATCAGGGTCTATGAGACCAAATCTTAACAATGGCTCTTACAGGCTGAGAGGTCTCAGCCAACCAGTCTTAGTTCCTCCACCTGCAGTATTAGAATGGTATAATGATAAGGTCAGCTTTTTAGAATTATTGGGAGGATTAAATGAGATAATCTATGTGAAGAATTTAGGATAATGCCTGACAGACATTAAACGTGATAAATTTTAGTTACTGTTGTTGTTAAAATCATGAAGGTCAATAAGGCCAAGTGTTGGTGTGGTAGAAAGAGCAACGGTGGAAACCAGGCAAGCTGTACTTTTGTCTTTTATCTACCACTCAGTATCATTTCACTCATCTGAAAAACAAAACAGTTTTAACTAAAATGGTATCTCATGTTTGAGATTTACAGTTTGGGGATTCTGCTCAAATAATGACAAGAGCTTAATTTGGATGGTCTAAAAACAGTTTTGGCCTTTGCTGATCTATTCATTTTATTAACTTTATTTATGTCAACAAGTCACGGCCACTTCAAGACTCAGAAACTTAATGTAAAATTGATGGGAAATAAGATTAAAGGTAGACCACAAACTTCTTTAAAAAAAACAAACAAACAAAAAAAGGGGCTGGCCATGGTGGCTCACACCTGTAGTCCCAGCACTCTGGGGGGCCGAGGTGGGTGGATTGCCTAAGCTTGGGAGTTTAAGACCAGCCTGAACAAGAGTGAGACCCCATCTCTAAAAAATACCTGGGTGTGTGGCAGGTGTCTGTAGTCCCAGCTACTTGGAAGACTGAGGCAGGAGAATCACTTGAGCCCAAGAGTTTGATGCTGTTGAGAGCTATAACACCATGGCACTCTACCAGAGGTGACAAAGTAAGACTCTGTCACCTCAAAAAAAACCCAAATAAAGTTCCCCCCAATCAAACTGTCTGGATTTTCTTAAATGTATCTTCTTTCCCCTAACTCATTTTTAATTTCATAGCACATACTGAAAAGGATGTATTTTTAATTCACTCTTAGGACGACCAGTTGTAATGAATGCTTTTATGACATGTAATAAAAATAAGGAAGAAAAATCCCATCACCTATATTCCAACTTTAATGACCAATCGAGAGGAGGTAATTAGGATTAAAAGCTATTAAAAAAGATAAACAACCTTTTTCCAAATATCACTAATTTTCCCTTTGTTATAGTAGAGTGAGCACTTTAGAAGTAATTATCAGAAGCTAATGACTGGGAATACAGCCATCTCATCGCCTGGCTTCGGTTCCTAGGTGGACGCAGCCATCATGCGGCACAAGTACAGAAAGCTCCCATAACACAAATGAGCGAGGCATTTCTGGGCACAGGTGTCAGGTTCCCTGTGGCAGAGACTGGTTTACCTTCCACATACTCCATGACCATGCACAAATGGCGCCTTGTTTCAAAAGAGCAATACATGCTGACCACAAAGGGGTTCTCTGCGAAAGTCAAGATATCCCGTTCCACAAAGGCCTGCTGGATCTGGTTTCTCAGGATGAGGTTCTGCTTGTTAATCTTCTTCATGGCAAACCTCTGCCGGGATTCCTTATGCCGAACAAAGTAGACTGCCCTGGAGAAGGAACACAAGCATGGGAGTCCACAGGAGAAGAAGAGGGGTGTTTGGGGATGAGAGTCCACTGGGAAGGGTGTTTGGGGATGAGAGTAAACCAAGTAATCATCAATTTTTTTAAAGTTCCCTGCCAGCTGGAATTCAGCTCATACAAGCTATGCTGGCAAGTACAAACACCCTATTCCAAGCCAAACTCCTCTGGCTAGATTAATTTTTTTTTTTAATTCTTTCAGTAAAGGTCACAGACCATAAATAAGGCATCAAATTCATCTTCACTGATAAAGAAAGGAAATGGACAGTCCTCGAAGTGAGCTATTCTCCAACAGCTTTCTGTTTTCTAATAGTTGGCTGCTGATGTCTCTTTTTTCACAAAACAAAACAAAATCCAGTCTTATAAGTCTGAACAGGAAAGAATTAACAAAATTACATACCTATCATGAGCTGGATCCTTTCCAGCATTAGATCTAACATTAGATATATGTTAGGCACTTTTTGTTGACTGATAAAAGCAATAGTTTTCTAAATGATACCCTTGGGATCTGCAAAAAAAGACCATCGTGTCTTAGAGTATCTGGCTTTCAAATGAGAGCAATTTACTTCCCATGAAATTTACAGGTAAATGAGAAGTACGTAACATGTTATATGAGGCTGTCCTGCACCAAAGGGTAGTGTATTTCCTCACTACTGACCTCAGCCCATTCCACCCCTAAGGCCGTTTCAATAGGAAATGCATTTCCCAACATAAAAGGAGACCCAAGGCCAAGGTGTCAGGCAACTTTATGACCAGGGCAGGCTGCACTCAATCTCTGCCGAAAACCTCACCCAGATACTTTATAGAGCCAATTATGGCTGGGTAAAGACAAGCGACTCCTCAAGGCTCAGGCTGACGTGGAAAAAAGAAGGAATTTGGAGGTGTTGTGAGGTCACACCTGCAAAAACTGTCTGGGATGGGCTCCTTCCTCTCAACCCCTCCTCGCTTGTCAGTATCCTGAGAAAACAAGTCTGAACTCTCCAATTATCAAACAAGAAATAATTTCCCTAAAGAGCCATCAACTTCAGTGAAGTGCCCCGTGGATGGCCTTCTACAGGAGGGGTTACGGGATGGGAGGTGCCTTTTCTGCGAGGTATTTCACTGTTGCTGGATGACTTCAAGAGCAACTTGGACCCCCGTGCTCCTGCCAAACCAGCTGAACCAGCATCACCATTTCCCCTTACTGTTCAGCTAGGAATTGCCTTCTCTTTCCAGTATCTTTATCTGTGCTGTCCCACTGTATTCATCTTTTTCCTTCTTCCACAAAATCCTACACTTATATTTACCTCTCCCCTCATTTCTTCGGTTTTCGAGCTCTTCCTTCTCTGGACAGGGAAAGCTCTCTTAACCACACTCCACAAAACCAACTGCAGAAAAACTGGGTGCTTTTTTCCCGCTATAACACAGCCAGCCAGGCCCTCCGTATGCCCCCATGGACCTGTGGTCCTCTTCAGCATCCCACACGCTGGAGCTCCTGCCAGTCGGGTTCATTCCTACACCTGTTTGGTCAACTAGACTTAATGTCAAGATTCAGTAATTGACATAAATGTTTACATAAATATTTCAACTGACATAAGTATAAAATGGAAAATCACTATTGTTTAGGAGAAAACTAAATGAATGTTTAGAAAGTCTTGGTAAATGTGAGTTACAAAATAAAATTCCCATCAATTTAGTGCAGTTAAAAAGATTTCCAAAAGTTGAAAAAATGATACATATTCCTATATATAGACTGCTTCAAGTTCTTTCATCTTTAAAGAAGCTAAAACTAGAACACAGAAACAATTATAGGTATGGTTTAGATTGGCTGTCTTATAATCGACTTACACCAAAAAATTTAAATTCAAATGTTTAAAGTATATATCTTTTTAAAAATGATTTCCCACTTGATATGGCAGAACCTCCTCAGTTGACCACCTTCCTACACTGACTACCTCCTTTAATTTATCTAATTTTCACAGACCACACATGTACCACACGTACATATCAGTACAGCAGGCCTAGTTCCTTATGCTGACCACCTCCATGTGTTGACCAGTTTGTTACGGTTCCTTGGATGATCAACTTACAGAGGTTCTACGATATTTTTCTTTATCTAATTACTGATTGGATAAAATCCGGAATCCACAAATAATCTGAGCTACTCCTATAATTAGACGATGGGAAGAAAGACACGGAAGAGCACAGATAATGACCACTGCTTAAATCTAAGATGAGCATTGGTAGGCTCGGCACCTATAGCTCAACTGGCTAAGGCGCCAGCCACGTACACCTAAGGTGGCGGGTTCGAATCCCCAGCCCGGACCCGCCAAACAACAATGACGGCTGCAACCAAAAAATAGCCGGGCGTTGTGGCGGGCGCCTGTAGTCCCAGCTACTTGGGAGGCAGAGGCAGGAGACTCGCTTGAGCCCAGGAGTTGGAGGTTGCTATGAGCTGTAATGCCACAGCACTCTACCCAGGGGGACAGCTTGAGGCTCTGTCTCAAAAAAAAAAAAAAAAAAAAGATGAGCATTGGTAAACAAATAATGTCATTAAAAAGGTTTTTTGAAATAGAGAATTTTTTTTTTTTTTTGAGACATAGAGTCTCACTGTATAGCCCTCGGTAGAGTGTAATGGTGTCACAGCTCACAGCAACTTCAAACTCTTGGGCTCAAGCGATTGTCTTGCCTCAGCCTCCCAAGTAGTTGGGACTACAGGCGCCCGCCACAACGCCCGGCTATTTTTATTGACAGGGTCTCCTGCTTGCTCAGGCTTGTCTCAAACCCATGAACTCAGGCAATCCACCCACCTCAGCCTCCCAGAGTGCTAGGATTACAGGCATGAGCCACCGTGCCCAGTTGAGAATATATTTTTTAATAAAATTTAAAATTCAAAATGTTGATAGAAAAAAATATATTTCTATAATAGCTTATTCTTTTCTTTCTTTCTTTTTTTTTTACAGTAATACTTATCACCTTTTGTCTCTTCCTTCAATATTTAAGTTTGAGTAAGTTTAGCACAGAGATCCCTTAGACATATATTCTAAATTTCACACAGTCGCAAGGTTGCCATTTTGCTTTTCAATCAAGTATCACCATTTTGTACCTAAGTAACTGCTCTGCAAAATATGTGAGAATAGGAAGTAAAAGATGAAGTGGAGACTTGTACATGGTTTTACAAAAGAATAAAAGAGAAAGATGCCTCAGGTCTAATTTGACCAGCATCTTGACAAGGTCTATGACACTCTGTTAGAAAATGGCTTTCATCCTTATTCTCAGATTTCCAGACCATAAAATTTGGCTTTACTCTCTGCTTTCCCTTGCTATGATGGACTTACACAGTGAATCCTTAGGGAAAATGACCTAAACCAACTGAAATTAATCCCACAGGTAGCTTGAGTGATCACTGCCTTGGGTCACTTAAACCTCCATCAAGTTGCCGAGGTCAAGTATACTTCCTAATTAGAATTAGTTGTAGATGGATTTTTTTGTTTTATGTTATTGGGTTTTTATATTTCTGTACTGCCTTAGGAATATTATTCTTCATGATGAGATTTATTCACTGAGTAGTAACTATTGCCTCCTACATATATACCTCTCCTCATTTCCTGTAAGTTGATAGTTGATGTTCCAAATCTACTTAAAGTCAGCAAAGATGAAAGAGAGAGAGAGAACACACAGCTGACACACAGACATAACACCCCTAAGCAGACTGTGAATCTCCCAATGTTATAAATTGCACTGAACTGATAAAACTTACAACCCCACATTTATCTGCTTTCTGGAGCCCCAGGGTTGCACTTTCTTGGAAAAGGCTGCTTCTATCTGTCTTGCTACACTGACCTCCCTGTGAAACGGAAACACCCAAGGGTGGGAGGTGATACAGGGGAGGGCTGACCAAAGACCCTACATCTCTGTGAGCCCACGTACAACCGAGGTGTGGGAGGTGGGGAGAAGTGGAATTAGGAGCTGACAGATCTAGAGCAGAATTAATTCAGCTCTCTCAGGAGCAAGAAGGTCTAACAAGTATAAAATCAAGCAGGAATCTGACAGCCCAACACACGACTTGGTGCTCGCAAACCCGCATGTGGGCTCCAGGGGCATGTGCTGCAGGGAAGCTGAGAAGAGAGGCGACCGGGAGGTAACGGAGAGTAACAAGCATCGATGTTAAGACGACAAGCACAGTGGGGGAGAAACAGTGAGACTCTGAAATTTGGCTTTTTTAACTTTCAAAATTATTATTTATTTGTTTATGTAGAGGCTGAGTCACTCTGTCACTGGGGCTGGAGCACAGTGGCGGGATCATAGCTCACTGCAGCCTCTAACTGCTGAGTTCCAGCAATGTTCCCGCATTAGCCTCCTGGGTAGCTTAGACTACAGGCATATACCACTGTGCTCAGCTGAAATTTAGTTTTTTTCCTTTTAAAAAGGTTAAGTCAATTTTATTCTTTTACTTTGAAAACATTCTAAGTTGTAACTTATGTAGAAACACTCAGTGGACATAGTTAAGACTGCTACACCCCAATTAAGATGGCTACGAGTTATCACAAAAGGATACTTAGAGAGGAGAGCTCTTCTTGGAATCAGAGTATCTGTGACCATGTCTCTAAAGATCTCCTTCCCCACACGTGAGTGGAAATAATGTCAACTAACACATGGGCTGTGTGAAAGGGATCATACAAAATAAGACCAGTACATGTGCCCAGCACACAGCCTCAGCTTTCTACAAAGTGCTAAGTTGGCATAAATGGATGTTTAACCTGCTCCCAGGGATCAGAAAATGTTAAACAGGGAAGGACATCAGATGCTATCAAATTGGCTTCACACCATGAATTTCCAACAAGTATGATGTTAAGAAAACACGTTGTGTGTCTTAGTACGACAGATAGAAGTCTCTCCTATGAGAGGGTTACCTCCTAGCACCAACAATTTCTGAGAAGTCATGGAATCAGCGTCTCTCTGAGCCCCTGATGTGAGTGGCGGACTCTGGTGCACAGGTACCTAACAAAGCCTCCAAGAGCCCGTTCATGCACTGATAGAGGATCTGTTTGTTCAGATCCTGGAGGCTGCAGCTGGCATCCTCACTGGGTGAACCAATGAGGGCAGCTCCATTCGAATCTCAAATTAAAGGTTATTAAAATGTAGAGGAAATCTGTCAGAAGGATAATGAGAGATTAAACCAGAGAAGAGCAAAAGAGAGAAAAAAGTTTTGGCTGGTTGGCAGAGGCTCCCACAGGCAGCTTGTGGGCCATTAATGACTTGGCCTGAATCCTGGGTGTTTACTGATTCACAGCTTGTTTAACTCCTTGTATATTCCCAACCAGTCCCCAAAGTGTGATATACCTCATCTACTATACAGTGGTTTAACTGCACTACAAATGAGTTTACTCAACCATTTAGAACCTCAAATCCTGGGAAGATATATGCCCAGGTTCTTTAAAAGTGGTGCCTCACAGATCAGCATATTCCAGAATTCCACTGCCAATAAAATCTAACAGAGCTCACACCTATACACCCAGTAAATCAAAGTTTAGTCTTCTCCCTAACAAGGAAAGAAACCCTCAGATCATCTCTAAGGGTATAAAGAACTAAACAACAAATGATAAACAAAAACCATGACAAATTTCATGCTAGGACAATCTCCCGAGGTAGAAAAGTTTCAATGAGGTCCTTGAAGGAAATAATATATTGCAAAAGTACATCAGAGAATATTTATAAGCCACATCAAGAAATACAGCACTTGACATATCCTGAAAACAAATCAGCAAAGCATAGAAAGGACTCACAAATATTTAAATTCTTCACTAAATTAATGGCATGGAACATTTTAGAGGTGAAAAAATAGTAAAGAGAAAAGATCCCTCAAGGCACAACAAAAATCACTTTTATTTCATCTGCTCATTTGTGTGATGAATGGCAATAAATGTCTATGAGATTATTTATTGCTCTCCATATACAGATGGAATTGAGATTAATACTTAATTAAACTAGAATTCTTCGGCTGTCTGAAATGGATCAGGTCATGGTGTGTACATTAATTACCCTTCCAAGCTATTAGAGATTCAGAAAAATCTTGTCCCTCTTTTCCCTATGCTATGAGAAGGAAACTGTATGTGTGTAAAAACACATCAAGGAAGGAGCACCACCAAGGTGATTAGATTATAGCATAGCATTCAATTTTTAAAAGCCTAGTGTAATATAAAAGAAATTTATTGCTCTAAATTCTCAGTTACCCTTATTTAAATACCTTTCTCACAAGATTTACTGCTGGTCAGATAGGAAATCACGCTAATTCTCAAGTAGTAATGCTATATATAAAATTATGCATATATTATGTAATTATATATAATACAGTACATGTATACATACATTATATATATATCATATATATAGTATATACAGTAGAACCCCCATAGTTGACCACTTCCCTACATCAACTATCTCAAGTTGACCTAATTTTCATAGACCAGACATGTATCACATGTATACATCAGTAGCAGGCCTAGTTCCTTATGTTGACCACTTGTGTATACTCACCAGTTTGTTACAGTCCTTTGAGTGGTCAACTTACAGAGGTTCTACTGTGTATGTGTGTGTTTATAAGGTTAGACATTTAAGTTTGCAAACTCATCCCAGAAAAAGTACTAATACCTCATTGCTGATTATCACTTTGGTCACCTTTGAAGTACTCCCCTTGGCCATCTGGTGACCATAGAGATACGAGCAATGAGGTGTGTAGCAACTAACTGTCAAACTTCACATGTACATGTGTGTGTGTGTGTGTGTGTGTGTGTTAGTATCTCCATCAAGAATCAGATAATGCTGAACACAAAAGGGCAGACAGAAGGGGGTAGAAACTAGAGTACACAAAATTTTTCCTTTATCTCCAACCCTCTAAGACAGGGATCCTCAAACTTTTTAAACAGGGGGCCAGTTCACTATCCCTCAGACCGCTGGAAGGCCAGACTGCAGGCCCTAGGACAAGTCGGCTACTAAGCTGGACAGGCAGCCACGGCAAGAACACCCGGCGGGCCAGATAAATGTCCTAGGTGGGCTGCATGTGGCCCATGGGCCGTAGTTTGAGGACCCCTACTCTAAGATAACTCCTAGGTCAACTGACATGTCTTTTGGTGGAGTATCCAATAAGAAGAGATTTTAGCTGTACATTACACCCTTCAAGGAAGGAGCAATGATCTGAAACGTCAAGTCCTTATACAACATCCATTTGGCATAAACACATCACTCAGGTCTGGTAAAATACAATGGAGAGCTTTTCTTGGATTACTCACCCATAGGCTCCATTACTGATCAATTTAATTGTTTCAAAATCACTTTCCCGAGGTTTCCTTCGAAGTTTCAGGGAAGTATTAGAGCTCTTGGAAACAAAATATGGAAGTTATTTTATCAGTAAAATAGATAATATGTGAATCATTTGCAATGCTGTCTAACATGCTGGGGTACAGTCTCCTAGCTAAAGGGCCTGGGGCAGCTCTCAAGATCAATCTGCCCCAACAGTGCTGATAAACTGCTCCTTGTGGCAGTTTAAGTGAACCCACATTTCCAGACCTCAAGGAAACTTCCTGATTTTAATTTGCCTCTATAAACTCCTTAGGTTGGCCTTGTCCTAGTCTTTTAACATTTTGAGATTTAAGTTCAAGATGCCAACTCCTCCTTATGGTTTCAGTCAGCTAGAAGAGACCAGGTGGGCTGCACATGAGCTAGGGGGATGTGTTCAATTCCTGCAGGGATCAGACAGCAAACAGAACACCCCAGGGTAGAAAGCCTGCCTTTCTTTACCTTCATACCGAAATCTCACCACGGTTAGATAACCATTTCCAAAGAGTTGGCTCCCTTTTAACAGTTTTATTCAAAGGACAGGAATAAACAAAGTACTCAAAAAAAAATTCTTTCAAACCCCATTTATTTTAGCACTGAGAGGATGTTAACAGCCTCTACCCGCCTCTGGAGAGTTTGGAATTCCCTGCCTATTGTTTTGGAAGAAACCCCATGACTCTGTGCGTCATCGCTGACCCTGCTGTCCAGCTCATCTTGGGAAGACTTGGGTACCCACTTTCCTCTCGGTGCCAGGTTTCTCTTGTCATTCAGAGTGACTTCAGTGTCTACACAGATAACTTGTCCAACACTCCGGCCTCCAGTCCCTTTGACCTCTTTCCCTGAAATATCTGTCTCCTCTACCTCCCCTTGGCCCTTAGCCGCGGGATCTGGAACTAGTCATCCCCTGCCAACGTTCCATTGGAGGAAAACACAATTCAAGAGTGGGACCACTTCTTTGTTCACCCACTCCCGTTCTTACTGCTCCTCCCTCGGTCTGGGCTACAGGGCTCTGTACAAGGCCCTGTGTGTCTAACTCTTCCCCACCCATGTGATCTCATTTACGTCCAGGGATGACTGACTCCTCAGTCGCTTCCACCTTTACGAGGAACCCTCCCTCTGAGACCAGAAGATGCCTGACTTGATATACAACTGCCAGTTTGATGATTGTCCTTGTCAAAGGTACTTTAATCTCAGCACATTCAAAATTATAATATGACAGTAAGTTTTTTTTTTTTTTTGAGACAGAGCCTCAAGCTATCCCCCTGGGTAGAGTGCCGTGGCATTACAGCTCACAGCACCCTCCAACTCCTGGGCTCAAGCGAGTCTCCTGCCTCTGTCTCCCAAGTAGCTGGGACCACAGGCGCCCGCCACAACGCCCGGCTATTTTTTGGTTGCAGCCGTCATTGTTGTTTGGTGGGTCCAGGCTGGGGATTGAAACCCGCCACCTTAGGTGTACGTGGCTGGCGCCTTAGCCGGTTGAGCTATAGGCGCCGAGCCAATATGACAGTAAGATTAACAAAAACAACTACCATTTATTTAGCACTTACTATGTGTTACTGTCCTAACCATTTTACATAGAATATTTCATTTAGTATTTTATGTCACTTGTATTAAATTTCAGGACATTAGAAGTACACATGCTTTTATTTACATACTTTGTTTTTGTACAGATTCAAAGTTGTAAGTGTGTCCTTCACCCAGATAGTGGGCACTGTCCCCGACAGGTGTGAATTTTCCCATCTCCCCTCCTTTCTATCTTTTCATTAATTTCTATTTCTTTCTGAAGGGAGGGGCTAAAATTAAATGCCTGATGACTGGCATACAGCACATATTTGTTGAACAAATAACTTAATTAACATAGCCAAAGTCTCTAGAAGCTAATAAACAGAAAAACCAGTATCATATTTCATTAAGAAAGATACTCACACTCACTGATTCATCTGTTTCTGGTGTTTCTGCTGTCCCACTATCATAGTTTCCTAATTGAGCCATTTCTAAGTTAAAAAAAAAAAAAAGCAAGTATTAACTTTCAGAAAAACATTCCAATTAGACAAGGTACTAAGCTAAAGCAAAAGACAAATAATTTCTCTGATACTTAAAAAAAAAAAAAGAAGACTTTATTCTATTATGCCCATGGGAAATTATTAAGCCTAAAATGGCAACAACCAGCAACTGATACTTTGAAATTGTTCATTACACATCCTTCCCCGGAGCCCCATTTCTGTAGTCTTATGCTCTCCCAACTGCGCTGTTACAAGAAAGGTGCTGTCTGAACCGAGTTTCTTATGAACACCCAGACACAGGAACTGTAGACATTGGGTCTCCAGCTAGCACGATTCACTGGCTGATGTGATCCTCATGGTGTGGAAAGGGTTTGGTGGGTCAACAACTCGGCCCAGGCTCTCACAGGCATCAAAGGCGCCCTGACTACAGGAATGATTCTCAAGTTTTAATGAGCATTTCGTTCCCTCCCTTCTCATCCACTAAGAAATACCCAGTCAAGTAAACTCAGAACATGACGCTTGTCAGGGAGGGAGGAATAATAATGGTTATGAGGAATTTAGAGATGAAAAGGCTTGGGTTACTACCACCATGAGCACTTACAAGCTGAGCGCCCTTAATACTTCAGGCTTTTCCTCTGTAAAAATGTAAACAATATTATTTATTTCTTAAGAGCTTTTTAGGAATACTCTACATGTATATGACAATGCGTGTAAAGCGCTTAGCAGGCTAACAAAAACTAAGTGCTGATTAAAAACATTTTGGTTTTTTTTGAGACAGCGTCTCACTCTGTGCCCCAGGTAGAGTGCCATGGCCTCATAGCTCATAGTAACCCCAAACCCCTGGGCTTAAGAGACTCTCTTAGCCTCCCAAATAGCTGGAACTATAGGCTCCTGCCACAATGCCTGGCTAGTTTTTTTTTGTTTTTAGTAGAGACAGGGTCTCGTTTTTTGCTCAGATTGGTTTGGAACTCCTGAGCTCAAGAGATCCTCTTGCCTCAGCCTCCCAGAATACTAGGATTACAGGTGTGAGCCACCTCGCCCAGCCTCATTAAATGTTGATTATTTACTATTATTAATTCTATTGGATAAAGTAGTCAAGCCTGGGCTGGACACTACATGATAGATGCTAGCTTAAAGTACCGCCGGTCTAGTTAAAAGCAACAAAGGTCTCTAATCATTCGACTCACTCTGGAATGCATCCTTGAGTTTATGTAACAAGAAAACCCTAATTTGATTATTATTCACTTTCATCTTTTTATTTTTTCTCAAAACATTGTTTATAGAAAAAAAGAACATGAAAGAGTTCTGGAGCTGGGCTGCCCAGGCCTACCCTCTGCAGCCAGCACTGTGAGCCAAGCATGTCTCTCTAAATTGGACATGTAGAATACAAGTTATAGTGTTTACTTACATATCTTTGTACTCATATAAATTATTTGCTAGGCTATTATTTCATGTGTTCATGTTCTTATAAATATAAGCATCTTGTCAGAGTACAGATTACACATGAGAGATAAGAAGCAAAACACTTTAGATTAAAAAAATACATATATGAACTCTAGATTCTGAAATAGCTGAACATTGTCCCTAACTTTCCCTGTTTATCTATTGGCCAAACTCCACAATGAAAATGAACTTAGTGGCTCGGCGCCTGTGGCTCAGGCGGCTGAGGCGCCAGCCACATACACCTAAGGTGGCGGGTTCAAATCCCCAGCCCAGGCCCGCCAAACAACAATGATGGCTACAACCAAAAAATGGCCAGGCGTTGTGGCAGGCGCCTGTGGTCCCAGCTGCTTGGGAGGCTGAGACAGGAGACTCGCTTGAGCCCAGGAGTTGGAGGTTGCTGTGAGTGTGATGCCACGGCACTCTACCCAGGGGGATAGCTTGAGGCTCTGTCTCAAAAAAAAAAAAAAAAAAAAAGAACTTAGCACAAACTATGCACTTTACTGGCATCATTCCCAAGGTGCCCATTTCTACCATGCCTGGCACCTTAAATTTATGGACTTGGAGGTGAGCTAAAATTTATTCAGGTGGAAGGGCTCTCCAGGAAATGGGCAAACTTTAGTAGTATTTAAGCAAAACAGAAACAGCAGCTAACACTTACGAAGTAATTACTACGATAAGAAATTGTAGAGATTAACTCATATAATCCTCTAAACAATCCGAATGGGTATACTATTATCTCATTTTTATGGGAAGAATTGAGGCACAAAGGGGCTCATGGATTGAATGGTCATGGTCGCTCGGCCCGCAGGGCTGGCTGCAGAGGGTAGGCCTGGGCAGCCCAGCTCCAGAACTCTCAGTCCGACCTTCAAAGGACAGGCTTTAGGTACAATACAATCAGGATTTGTATATTCAATTATCTGAAGAAGTCACATTTTAAGTGTTAACACAGAGATGAAAAATTATCCTCAATCTGAATTTAAAAAATTAAGTATTAAAAGAGTTCAAAGGAACCACAACTCCTAGTGATTAATTTATATGACTAAACTCCAAACTTGTCAAAGATCATTAATTTTTTTAAAGCCTCTATAAAGGCACATAAATGGGCCCCAGATTATCCACCTACTAAAGTTCAGCCTACAGTGATACCTTCTACAAGGTAAGAAAACTGTAAACAACTCACTCACGCTACCATTCAAGCTGACACAATCTTAACTCCACTGGCATGAAGAGTCACTGTAATATACTTTGACAGCTTCCCCCACTCCAACTATTTTCATAAAAAAAAAAAATTAAAAGATGGTTCTATCTTCAATAGAATTTCTGCAAAGTAACTATTATCTGAGAAATACATATTATTTGTAAGCAGTGGGTAGCACTGGAATGGAACCAAGAGTCAGCTTTTAAAGCAGGAAGCTAAGGCATCATTTTGTAATGCCTGAAGTGATTTTTTAAAACTCATCTAAATACCATTAAACATCTGCTCTTTTTATTTCATTGATTTAAACCATTTCTGAAGACTCATGATTCAAAAAGGTAAAGATGGTAATTTAAAAGCCATGGGGGAAAAAAATCTCTCCCCAGGGAACTTTTCAGAAAAGCAGCCGCCAGTCTCTGATAAGTGATGAATCTGTTGTGGTATTTCTTTCAGTACAGTATAAATTTATCTGGCATTATCTCACAGTAATGCATGCATCATTTCACTGGAAGCAAAGATATGATGGCTGAAAGAGCAAACAAAGCCAGGGGAAACAGGCCAGCAGGGCAGAGAGCAGTAGGCGCCTTGGCTTTACAGGGAAAATTCTCTGTGCCAGCGTTTACCCCCATTATAAGCGATTTAGCAAGATAAACACTGTTTGCAAATTCAATTTAATGAACCAAGAAGACAATTTTGAATGAAGGAGTCAACAATAGCTTTAGAGTCTTTGGGGGCAGTATATAACCTGAATGTTACAAATAATAATCTCAAACAATAAGGAACAGGACAAGTTCAGGAGGGACTGGTTTGCCAATATCAGATGTTTAGAAATTCACTAACAGGATGCTTCCTGTTTTCTGATTTGAATATAATGGTATCTTTAAAAAATCTGAATCAACCATAAATCCTTCTACAAGCTTTAAAAATTTCTTTTTTTCATTGGCTGTCTCATGTATTACTATTTTTCATACCGCCATGAGACAAATAAGCAAAAAGATACCCAACCATGTTGCTCTCAATTTAATGTAATCCACTATCAGTTGCATTACTCCCAAATTAAATTTAAATGTCAACTTAATTAACGATAATTTCTTTAGCAACATTTTTAAAATTAAAAGTACTCTCAAGAAGAGCCCAACTGAGCTTTGCAAGAGAAAAAGTACTCAAGACAAGATTGAAATCTAAACCCTTCTGGGATGCTGTGGCATTTTCAAGCTGACAGGCCTGTCTCCATCCTCTAGGTAAACACAAAATGGGTCACGCTCATCTGCTCCTCTGAACTTGACTCATGGCTACTTCCTTCAAATCAGAACTTGTCCCCCAAATGGACTTTCACTAGACAGAGCAGAAACATGGGGAAAAAATAAAGATTTGCCACAAAGTTCTTCTATGAGGCCACAGCATGTAAGTAGGTCAAAGGTCAGCCCAACCAAAGCACTCACCTTCCAAAGGATCCTTGTTGAGTCCCAGCTGGCTAATGATGTACCTAGGGATGTCGGTTTTAATACCCTGTCCTTCTTTTGCATGGCCTTCTGCTGCTTCCAATAGGTAGTAAAATTCTTCAGGATCAAATTCCTAGCAGACAACACAGATAAATACTTCTTTGAGCCAAATTGTCTGAGGTTTTATTACATAAATCCCACTCCCAATAAGACTGCTGGATATATGAGCTCTGACAGTTACAGTTAAAACCTCATCCTAGAAAAAGTGCTACATACCTCACTGCTGAATATCACTATAGTCACCTTTGAGGCACTCCCTTGGGGAAGTTATGCACTGACACCAGTACCTAGTCCATTCTTCAAAGCAATTTTGGAACTTTTTCTGGAATGGCGATAAGAGCTGTCATCTTATGAGGTCTGATAATTAAAACTTGCAACCAGGTGCTTAGGTTGGTGGCACTGTACAAACAACTCAGTAAGGTTTCAGAACCTTACTATATCAGCGTCTCACAGCTGTGTTCATGTCAATGGGTGGCAGTGTCTTGCTGAGTAGCATTCATTATTGTTGCGTGTTTTTGGGTGCCTTACAACAATAGTTCTGATGGTCATTCCAGAAAGAGAGTTTCAAAATTGCTTGGTAGGGTGGAATGGGCACTGGTGTAAATACATAGCTTCTCATGGAAGTAAGTTGATGGTGACCATATTGATATTCAGAGATGAAATACGTAACAGTTTCTAGAATGAGTTTGTGAACTTTATTGTTAGATCACTTGCATGGATGCAGGTTATTTGTACAGAAAGAGGGAAAAATGGCTTTGAAAAGTATATAATTATTACTTCATATGTGAAGCCTATTTATATTTTAAGCCAATGCATTTATATACTCATAACCCAAAGATAATGATCATTTCTAATTCTCTTGTAATATAACTCTGACAGTACCATGTATACTCCACTTAAAAGCTCTATTTCATTGAAAATGAACAGGTCTGATTTATAATTGTGCTTTTTTAGCAAAGCTTTAAAATCTGGGAATTTTGATCCAGAAGATTTGAGACTGATTTTTCTCTCTCTGTATAACCAGTCACAAAAGGAATAATGTTACAATACATTTAGTCAAAAGCTTGGAAGGACACTTCCTTAATATAGAGGTGTCAAAAAATATTAGGAAGAAAACTTCAAATTATTTTTATTAGTTAACTCTACAATTAAGATACCATTAGTCACATAATGTAAAGATTAAAAAGAAAAACAGTAGCACTCTGGGAGGCTGAGGCAGGTGAATCCCCAAAGTTTAGGAGTTCAAGACCAGCCTGCATAAGAGTAAAACCCCATCTCTACTAAAAATAGAAAAATTAGCTAGGTGTTGTGGCAGGTGCCTGTAGTTCCAGTTATTTGGGAAGCTAAGGCAGGAAGATGGCTTAAGCCCAAGACCTTGAGGTTGCCACTTGAGCCCAAGATTTAAGGTTTCTGTGAGTTATGACACCATTGCACTCTACCTGAGTAGAGTAAAATGACTCTTTCTCAAAAAAAGGAAGGACGAGAGGGAGAGAGGAAGAGAAAGAGGGAGGAAATAAAAGCTTCCAATTACTTCTATCTTATGTAAAACTTGGGAATACATTTTTCTTATGTATTTTAATTTTTTTGGCTGCTGCATCTAGTATGTAATAAAACATTTCCAGGATAGCATCACTCTAGTTAGCTCTTGTGATATTGTGAAATATATTCTTGGTCTTCATCCCTGTTTTCAGGTATATTACTCTTAAAAGCTGTAGAATCTTCAAAGTAGTAAGAGTCTTTCTGTATGCTAATAAGGTGACTGGTGGCTAAAGACTCCAGAACTGAGGCTGGTTGTCAGGGGAACCAATCTGATTAGAGGACTGGGAGTTCAGAGTGAGACTAAAGGTTAAGTCGATCACCAATGGCCCAGGGGTATCCAACCTGCAGCCCATTGGCCACATGCAGATTATTTAAGGACTGTTTTGCTTATCCGTGGCCTTGGATATTGCAAAAAGCATGCAGGGATTATTTATTTATTTTTGCTTATCATCTTCCGTTAGTGTTTGGGTATTTAACATGCAGCCCAAGACAACTCTTCTTCTTCCAGTGTGCAGCAGAAAAGAAATAAGGTTGGACACCCCACAATCAATCACGCCTACATAATGAAGCACCCATTAAAAACCTCAAAGAACTAGGCTTGGGCAGCTTCCAGATGGCTGTACATGGGGAAAGTTCCTAGAAGGTGACATACCCAGAGAAAGCGTGGAAGCTCCCTACCCTTTCCCCCACACGTCACCCAGTACATTTCTTCATTTGTATTCTTTGTAATACATTTTATAATTAACTGGTAAAGATCAGTTTTTCCTTGAGTTATATGAGCCACTCTAGCAAATTAGTTGAACCTAAGAAGAATTTCCTGGGAACCGCAACGTATAGCTGACTGGTCACAGGCACAGATAAGCAACCTGGGGCTTGAGATTGGCATAGCAAGGGGAAGACAGTCTTGTTGAGACTAAACCCCTGACTTGTAAGATCTGAAACTATCTCCAGGTAGACAGTGTTGGAGTGGGACCGGAGGGCACCCAGCTGGCACCTGCTGCAGAATGAATGGCTTGCTTATGTGTGAGGTTCCCACACAGCTAGTGTCAGAGTGTGTGTGAGACGACAGTAGGGGAAACTGGGTTCGGTGTTTCCCCTGTGCCACAGAGATGCCACAGATTGTGTGCAGTTATCGATCAAGCTTACAAATTTAAAGCATAGTGGCTATTTTCAGTTTTATTCCCTGACTCCTCCTGCCCCAGCCTCTTTCTCATTCTGATTAATGCCTAACCAAAATAGGCAACTTCAGAATCTCAGTATTCCACCCGAGAATTACTCCAGAATTTCTAAATGCCATATAAGGCAGCTCTCTGTGAATGGAGAAAAGCCAACCCAGAGTAAATGCTCGGTGACCTTTATACATGTACAAACCTACAGTGACTGATGGAGCGAGCGTGGCATAAGATGGTAGTTTGGGGAAACATCCCCTACTACTCTGAAGCTCCAGTTCACCGGAGCTTTACACAGTGCTGAAAGCAGCAACACTTCCAAGCCACTTTTAAGGTCACTTGTTTCCATCTTTGAGAGACTACAGTTTCAGTTTTTCTCTTTTGATTGTAAGTGATTACTGTTAAAAAAAAAAAGAATTATTTCCCTGTAAGTCATGGTCTGCTCTTAGCCTATCTCCTGTTGTCCAGAAAAACCAGTTTTAATGCTAAATGACATTTCCCCTACATTAAACAATTGCAGGAAGTACAAGCATGGAGTACGTAATTCAAAAGCTGCATGAGAAGCAGAAGAAAGTTCCCTTCTCCTTGGGTTCACCAGTTGCCTAGTTCTCCCCTAGAGGCATTCAAAGAAGTTTTTCTTCTTGATTCTTCTGGAGTCACCCACTGCCAAATCGTGTGTTTGATTCTGTGATCTAGAGGAGCTCACCATTGACGGAAAGCCCTCCCCTGCCTCTCCAGCTCCTACCTGTCTCCTCAAGATTTTCCCTCTGCTGTGTCTCACTGTGCACTGATATATGTTTATGGGGCGGTTAACTATCTCATGACTATAAAGCATTATGAATGTTAATTAAAATAAGGGCAGAACCAAAGCACTACCACCACATATGGACTATGTACTTGTGTATGTGTATTTCGGAAAAGCTCTACTACAGGTGGTGTTATAATTACTTTCGGCTAGTAGAACTTAAAAGTGAGTTTTGATGTATACTACTAGCCCCTTAAAACAATGCTCAAGTTCAAAGTTTCATATTTGTTCATGGTTTTGACTGAAATCTCAATTAAAATTTCACAAAACAGGCTGGGTGCAGTGGCTAATGCCTGTAATCCTAACACTCTGGAAGGCTGAGGCAGGAGGATTGTTTGAGCTCAGGAGCTTGAGACCAGCCTGAGCAAGAACAAGGCCCCATCTCCACTGAAGCAGAAAGATTAGCTGGGCATCTGACACATGCCTTTAGTCCCATTGGCTTAAGAGGCTGAGGCAGGATGATTTACGTGAGCCCAGGAATTTAAGGGTGCAATGAGTTATGATGACATCACTGCATTCTACCTGGTGCAACAGACACAAACTCTCTTAAAAAAAAGGAAAAAAATGAACAAACAAAAAACCCTATTAAACAAAGACTTTAAAACAGGAAAATTAGGGCGGTGCCTGTGGCTCAAAGGAGTAGGGTGCCAGCCCCATATGCTGGAGGTGGCAGGTTCAAACCCAGCCCCAGCCAAAAAAAAAAAAAAAAATTGGGGGTTGGCACCTGTGGCTTAAAGGAGTAGGGCACCAGTCCCATATGACGGGGGTGGCAGGTTCAAACTTAGCCCCGGCCCAAAAGTGCAAATAAATAAAATAGGAAAATTATCACTGGCCAAAAAGGTAACTGTTAAAATGAACTAATTTAGATGGGGTTCTATTATATTTTCCCAAATGAGTTACTAAATAGCACTTATTTTTTTAACATGCCACATTATAAAAATAATTTATCTCTGCTGATTTCTCTTTCTGTATTTTCCAAAACAGTGACGTACAGCAAGCATTTTAAATTTGCTATGACATTAAATAATTAAGCTGAGATAAGGTCAAGGAAGCAATAATCTTCCAAGTTAGACCAGAATGTGATATGACAATCACTTAATATAGCACCAGTCCTAGAATTTTTTCCTAAACTAAGAGAGGACAGATCGCATATGGATGTCAACATAAACATTCACAAGCTGTAGTTCCTCCTTTCTTTCCATTTAGCTCTGGTGTTTGAAAGCAAATGAAACGAGCTTTCTGATGGTTACTGCTTTCCCAGTTAACAATAAATAATGGGGTTACATCTAAGGGTGACTTACCAGGCACTCTAATAACCGAGCAGGACGGGCAATAACAATCAGGATCTTTCGAACTAGTTGTTTAATAAATGCCAATTCTCCACTTTCTGAACGATCATGAGCCTAAGAAAAAGCAATGAAAAAAATGATATAGAGTTGCCCCAGCAATGAAAAAAAAAAATCACCAAAGCATGCTAATTAGATAATTGCAAATATTAAAAAATCAGATTCGGCAAATACTCTGAAAAGATTCATAAATAGGCACTAGCTGTATATAAATGAACACTATTAAAAGTTTATATCTACAAAATAGTTTCACTAGCTAAACCTTAGTTGTGAAACTTGGATGTATTATCTATGATAAAAATCAAATGTAAGGCTCTTAATGTGAACCATGAATGAAGGAGATACCCACATATTAAAAGTTTATGACCCATTAAGTCATATAGGCTGGGAAGCTGATAAAGAACCTTGATTTTCCAGATGTAACACCTGAAGTATAGTTAAGGGCCAACAGAGTGAAGGACTGACTTTGTTAGACTGGACATTTGATACATTCATGAAATATACTACATATTTCTCTCTGTAATACAATTAGCATATAAATTAGTTATTTCATCACATGTCAGAAATGTGAAATACTTATTTCAAATGTTTGCTGGATAATGTTTATGCAGGTTGAGTATCCCTTATCCAAAATGTTTGGGAGCAGAAGTGTTTCGGATTTTAGAAATATATGCAAAGTTTTGGAATATTTTGGAATATCTGCATATACATAATGATATATCTTGGGAATAGAAACCAAGCCTAAAGAAGAAATTCATTTATCTCATTACTAAATTGGAATTAGTCAATCAACACTTATATGCACACAGGGAAGTAAAACTCAATGGGAATCAAGTAGGTGGGAGAGAAAAAGAGGAGTGCGGTTAATTCACATAGAACAGGTGTAAGGCAGACATTTTGGGTGAGGACACACACCTGTAGCTTTGTCCTAAAATATACAAAACAAATTATGTAACCAAAATATGTATTCCCCTGTGATATCCAGAAATTTAAAAAAGAAATTCACTTATGTTTCATCTATTCTTTATACACATAGCCTGAAGGTCAACTTATGTGATATTTTTAATAATTTTGTCCACCTGTCACATGAAGGCAGATATGGGATTTCCCACTTGTAGCATCATGTCAGTGCTTAAAAAGTTTCAAATTTTGGATTTTGGATGCTCAACCTATACTTGGATGTGTATATTATGAACATATACATAAGTCATATGTACACATCCATACATACACACACATTTATATGTACACATACACATTCATACGTACACACACATTCATACGTATACATCTATGTCCACATACATATGTATGTTCATATGTATACATGTATATACAGGTATGCACACATGTATACATATACACATACATTCATATGTATACATATATTCATATGTATTCAATTTCACGTAGTAAATAAATAATGCCTGGGCACTCAACTCAGTATAATTTAACTGACTTAAAATATTAACATTTTATTTGATACGTTGCTGAAGCACAATAAATATTGAGAGCAAAGCGGTTTGTTAATAGTCATGTAAATTTTAAGTGCTATTTTCTTGAAGAATTCAGGCCAATCTGTATCGATGCAGGCATAAATACAGTAATGTAAACTTCTATCTATGTTCACCTTCAGGCATTCTTAATTTTTAAGTTTTTATGATTTACTGTCCTCTAAAATTTAAGGAAAAAAACATATATCAAGGTGATGCTTTTACAATGTAACCTAATTTCACAGACTTTAGTAGTAGATGTTTACAATCATTCCTGAAGGTGCTTTACCACGACAAGGACCAACCTCCTCCCTCCAAGAAATGAAGTGGCAGCCCAAAGTTACAAAAAATGACCATACTCAGCATTAATAGATCTACTGATTTTAAGCCATCAAGTCGAAGGCCACTTTCTAAAACCATATACAGGAAAAAGCAAAATGGCAAACATTTAAAATTAAAAAAACAAACAAACAGGGAAAACGACCATTGGTGAATAATCACAGAATACAATGCATTCAAAGAACTCCAACTAGTAACTTTAACTATAGGCCCTCGTAACCAGTAGGGATGCTAGGACATTACATACATATGCATCCACATAGAAACATCTCAAATATTGAAACTGCCTTTAAATTTTCTTCCCAATTTTTGTTTTGCAAGAAAAATAAATTTCGGAAAATATAATGATTGCCAAGAATTACGGTTGTATGCCTTCTTTATAGTTCCTTAATCAAACCCAACAGAAAACCGTAAAGATAAAGCAAAAACCCCACCTAACTTTGTAGTTGACAATTTGGGTTAAATACCGAAGCCTCTTCTTACCATAAAATCACTGTTTTCTAAATTCAGGAATATAAAGAAAATCTAAAAAGGCTGAGCATATTTTGGTGGTTTCTTCAAAGGGAAATGAGAACTTTATAGCTTAAAAAACTTAAGAGCTGGTTAAGATTAAATTCTACTTCAAAAATCATAAAAACAATCAGTTCAGCCCAAGTCACTCCACCGAAGAATTATCAGCCACAAGCAAGACAAAACATATAAGTTACATTAAATAATATTTTACCTGTTAACATTAAGCAGGGGGTGGGGGGAGGAAAAGCTTTGTTAAAATATCACCAAACGACACAATTAGCCTGAGAAGATAAATTATTTTCTTGGTGCTACCAGCAAGCTCCAAAGGGGGAAAAGTAATGGATGCCTGTGTCTGTATTTAAAGATCCGGCCACTATAAAAAGGGCCAAGATCCAGAGATTTGACAGTAGTCTAAAACTTCCAGTGTATATTTGTTGGCTAAACACATCTAAGTGAAAAAAAGAGCAGGGCCACAAATGCATCATCTGCAATTGTCCTGGACCTCAGAACTTTAAAAAAGCATCACTTAAATCAAGTTGTTCAAACCTTATGGGGACCTTGGCTGGGTTACAACAAAAGACAACAATGAGAAAAATGGCGGGAGCTAGGCCCACTTGGCAAAGACTACCACAGTGGGGAACTGACAACCAAATGCAAGATGGGAAAACCAGAGGAAATCCCCACAATTCAGATCTATCTATAACAGGCAAGTTGTGTAACAGATTAGCTCCAAGCTTGGGAAGGACACTGCGAATGTGATGATGAAGGTCATTTTAATCTTTACAAAAGGACTTCAGGAAACTTTTTTGTGTGAAGATAAAGTATTCTTAGTCATACTTAGTAATGACCTTTATGCCACAAGCATACGTGCTTCTCTGGCCAAAAGAGAAGTTTCTCTAAAATTTAATAATTTTTCACCTATTACATGCAGTATAGCCCATTCTCATGACCTTTGCAACTTTAGGATGATTTCTTAATTGCAACGAAACCCTCTGCCAAGTCTGTCATACAAAACTAAATTAAGTGAGGGGTTTCAATTTAAATAGCTTTGGATATCAATTCTACCCTTTTTAGCGAAAGCCCATGAAGCAATGAAAAACACTGGTAATTATGGTAATATCGTGGGACGGAATTGTGGAATCAAGGAGAATCACAGAGGCTCAATACTGAGTTCCTCTTGTCTGACTATCCTATTCAAAAAAACATCATTGAACTTAACATAGTTTTTAAGGTATTCTCACAAGTAGTAAAATACATAGTATTTCCAGCATTTTCTGGAAGCTAATTTCATTAAAAGCCAACAGTAGAATTAGATTATTTGATGATACCTCCTAATAGATCAAATACAGGGGCACACATAGCTATGTATTTTCTTGCTTCTTCCCTCCTTTCCACAGTTACTAAGGAACAGATAAACACCAGGCACTGGGCTGGGCTCCAGAAAGCTGGAGATGACCCCTGTTCCTCAGAGCCCAATGTCTGCAGGTAAAGTGAGAGCCACAGAGAGCATTACAATGCCTTGTGGCTAAGTTCCCTGAGAGGGAAGGCACAGGCCATGTTGAGTTTTTACCTGTAGGCAGGATGGCAACACTGCAGAGTGTTTGATACCCTTGCTGCTATATAAGTGTGTATCTGAGGAGTTAGGACTGGAAGTGGGCAGACCAGGGAGGAGGAGGATCTGAGCTAAGCTAGTGGTTATAGAATAAGAGGAAAGAGTTGCAGAAATATTTAGGAAGTAAACTGTGAAGGTCTAGCAGTTGTACACCGAAGGGAAAGGAGTCGTCTAGTTTGACTCAGAGTTCTAGCAGATGGTGGTGCCAAGGACGGGGCAAAGAATGCAGGAGAGGGAGGTGTGGTGGAGGAAATGCTGAGTCTGGTGCTGGACAGACTGAGCCTGCTGCTTCAGCAGGCTATCAGGTGGAAAGCTATCTCGTAGGCCAGCAGACACATGAAACTGAAATCTGAGAGAGGGCTATTGGTCTGAGATATGGACTGGAAGCCATCAGAGTCCACAGGACTTTAATCCAAGAAGCCACCGAGATCACTAGGAGGTGGGGGAGCAGTGGATGTGAGATGAGGTCATGGGAAAACTGACTTCACAGGAAACATGACTGGGGCCAGGTGCAGTGGTCACGCCTGTAAACCTAGGACTCTAGGAGACTGAGGGAGGTGCGTTGCTTGAACTCAGGAGTTCAAGAGCACCCTGAGCAAGAGGAAGACTAAAAACAGAAAGCCTAGCATTGTGGCAGGCACCTATAGTCCCAGCTACTTGGGAGGCTAAGGTAAAAGGATCACTTGAGCCAGGAGGTTGAGGTTACTGTGAGCTGTGATGTCACGGCACTCTAACTTGGGGCAACAGAGTGAGACACTGTCTCAAAAAAAAAGGAAAATATGGTTGGGAGGAGAAACTCTTGAAAGAGGCACACAAGAAATGGCCAGAGGGGTAACCAAGGATAAGAGAATAGATTAAAAGAGGGAGGATGCAAAAATCTTCCAATAAAATACCCAGTGGACCTGACAGTAAGCAGGACATCAGTGAGTTTCGTGAGAGGGTGTCAGAGCCATTCATTCAACAAATAGTGGAGTCCTTCTGTTATCGACCATCCTAGGTGAACAGAGCAGACACAGTGCACAAAGCCCATGGAGACATTATGTGCAAGTTATGGGGCTCCTCAGAGTGTGGTCCACAGATCAGCGCCAGTCTGTGACCTGTCTGATATCAGAGTGTGATGAGTACGGTCACAGGGAGTGAAAGCATTCAGTGACTCTTACAGCAAGTTTACATTGCCAGGACACCCAAGGGCATGGTCATTTTCCTATAAAACTCATCTCACTTATGGGAGAGAACTAGTTTATGTCAAATTAGAAATTAACAAAAAACAAAACCCAGAAACAATGTGTCCACCCCCAGGACAGCCTGAGAGGCGCTGCTTTAGTAGACTGCAGAGGGTTGCAATGTGACAAAGGGGGACAAAGAACAGAAAGTTTAGATGGAAAAGGAAGAAAAACAGAGGCTGCGCACCAAAGTGGGGTCTTCTTAATCTTGCTAGAAGTACATTCTCTAGAGGCAAGGACAGGTAGATTTCTTGAAAAGTACAATGCTAGTATTAATAGTTTTCTTCAGTTCTGTGCAGTTATTTATGTATTAATGCTTGGGAAAGCCACGTATGATTATGTTTATGTGGGCATAATTTATGCCCTGTAAGATACAAAAACACAGTATATCCAAATACATTGGCTAAACAGGTTTTGCTTATTGGCTCTGGCTGGTCCGTTTCAGTGGGCAATGCACCATTATGCATGCAATTCCATTGCCCACACACTCTTCCTGTCCTGGGTGTTATCTGGAGCTAGGGCAGCAATTGTTAGGCCCAGGCAGGTCCTGTGTTCATCTATCATTTCGAAAATGAGACATTTTGCTAGAAAAAGAACTGACATTTATGAAAATATAAGTTGCCATGTACTACCCAACGCCACATGCAGGTTAATTAATAGAATACCCAGCCTGGAAGAAGCCGGCAATTTTCCATTTAGTTTTTTCAGATATTGGAACTAGATAGCATCATCAAGTAACACATGTACGCTCAGGCAATTTATAACATTATGGTTAAGGGGGGGAAACTATCGCTGCTTCAAAATTCTTTCTGATCCACTTATCCTTGAGTCATAGATTGTCAGGTCCCAAAGTTCCTCTGTAAAGGTTATTACCTTAATTTTCTATTACTATAAATAATGACTAGAATCAATTTATAGTAAGTAGCAATCAGGTAAGTGTTTTTGCTTTTTCTTTGCTCTCCTGGAAGGTGAACTCCAACCCATGGTTATAATTTGTAAGCAAATGATCTCGAGAAAAAAAAAAATTTTTTTTCCAGGGGAAATGTGAAACACATCAGAAAATGTTATGTGGTCCGTGGTTCTTACCTCCTGTAACAATTTATCCAATTTGTGCTGTAATTCAAGGAAGTATCGCGAGGTGATGAGACCCTGGTGAGATTTATCCAAGCAATCCCGAGCCAGTTCAATAATCTGGTGGTGAGTGAAACTAAGCACTCCATCTGCCAGGGGAAGAACGTTATCTGGAGAGTAGCTGGTGATAATTTCTTTCAGGCGTTCTTCCATCTGAGCCGTAGCCTATTTGGAGAAGACACACACACAGAGATGTAATGCAGGAAAACACACATGTGAGCCATTCAGCCACCTCATCTACCTGGCATTTTCAGACACCTTTACAAGTTGTTAAATAGACTTTTAGAAGACATTACATGTATTTAAAAGAATCCTCCTGTGGGATACAATAGCGGTGCATACATGTCATTATACATTTCTCCAAACCCACTGGCTGTGTAACACCAAGTGAACACCAACGTAACTGCAAACTGTAGGTGACGATGACACGTCAGTGCAGGTTCACCTACCACTCTGGGGCAGGGTTGGGGGGGTGCTGCTGCTGGGGGAACTGTGCCTGTGTGGAGCAAGGGGTGTATGGGAAATTGCTGTAGCTTCCACACAATTTTGCTGTGAAGCCATAAGTTGTCTAAAAGATAAAGTTTACTTTAAAAAAAAAAAGGAAGAAAGAAACCCCCAAACAGCAGCAGCCTTACTATGTGGAATAAAGAGTAGAGGTACAAAGTGAAAATAAATATTACAGAGGGCTAAGACCCTTCTTCCTCTGTGGTATCCGATGTTAAATGGTCCACGTAAGCTGCTCCTAAGAGCGCAAATGATACCTTTGAGTTGTTAGGCTTGCTATTTTAGATCTTGGGCTCCTTCCGAGACAGATTGTCAAAAATAGCAAATATTTATGTTCTTTATGTAATCCCCAAATCAGGATTGTTGCTAGAGTTGCACAGGATGAGCCAAAAGTTTTCTTCTTGGCTAGGTTTGGATGTGCCAGGACCTGCCCCTTACATCATCCAGATCATTTTCTTGAAAAGTGCTGTCGTGTACAAAAGGCCAAGGGAATTCCCTCGGCAAAATAAATCTAAAATTTCCTTCTCAACTTTCATTGTCTCCCATCACCTACTGCCTAATCAATATTCCTTGCTCACGTTAATTACATATGCAGGGAGACCCCCCCCCTTTCTGTTCCCCTCTAACGTCCTGCCCTGCATTAACTAGGTACAGTCAGTGTCCGCTTCCCCAGTGAGCAAGGGGCATGTGACAAATAGCCAAAACAGCTGTAATCAATGACATCAATGTTGGGTTCATTACAAATAATAAGTACTCTACTCCTGATTGATGAAACCAAAGATTTCCTTTTGTTCTCTTGCTTAGGGCAACAAAAGAGGAGGGGAGAGGGTCAGGAAAAACACAAAGACGCCCTCTCCAATGTTTGCAGAAACACTTTGGAGAGATGACGTGGAAACAGGTGAGGTAAGGGGCACCATGGGAGTGCAGATCTTCCAGCCAGGACTTTGGCAACAACTCAAATTGCTCTCTGGCTCAATTCACACTCCTTCTGCCATTCTAACTGGAGAATCCTGCGATTACACCTTCGCTTCCAAATTAACATAGAAAAGAAAAATGAGGTGTAAGAGTAAAGAAATACCCCTCAAAAGGACAACTTTTGCAACCCCTCAATCTACAGGCTTTTGAGGGAGAGCAACAGTCTCTGCCTGTCAAGACGGCAGCAGGCTCAGAACACAGTACCGGGACATGAAGTACCGGGACATGCAGTGTGTCCAGGCCTTTCAGCACATGCCTCCCTGGAGCACCTCACCAAGCCCTCCCAGTGTGGGGAGCACGTGAGCTAGACTCCCTTTAAAGCCAGTTTAGCACAAAGAGACAGCAGTTAATTCTCGGCAGCTATCAGTTAACCTTTTGTAAGAAATCTCTTTTTAAGAAGGCTATGCATGGTTCTGTTTTAGGCAATTCATGATTGCACTGGATCCTCACTTCCCACAACAAAACCGCCTTACAGACTCTGACCTACGTCGCCCGTGCGTTCAGATGCTTGGCATCTTAAATTCAATTCATTACCTTTGGGAACCTTTCTTTGTAGACATGGTTCATCATAATTATTTCATGGTCACAGCAGGCGGGAGAACGTCCGGGGCTGCAAGCAGAGCAAATTACCCTTTTAAACTTGCCACAGCATGAAATGAAAATAAGCTTTTTATTTATAAACAGTCGGGCGCATCACAAATACCACACAAGCTTTGTAAGAAAAGTATACTAGGTAATACACTAACAAAATCAGTCGTTAGTACACATGTACCCGCAAGTACAAAGATGCTCTGAATAGGATTCAAGAAGTGGAATGCCACAAAATAATTATGGTTACAATACAACAGTGTTTCTGAAAATGTACTTCAATGGGGATTATATTCTGCATGCAGTATGAGCTTGTGTAAACTCTGGAAACCAATTAATGACCTGCAATATGAAATAAAACAGGGTAGCTATACACGGCAACATCTAAGACACGTGTAACAGTGCAATTTCACACTTTTATTGTACACCTGCGCTCTGCCACACACCCCTGAAGAGGTCTGAGTGTCTTCCATGGCACAGGTGTCATAATGGAAATCCATTTTCTAGCTTGGCAGATATTTATGGGAGCGCTGAGGTGGGCACTATGTATACATACAAAGCAAAGGCATACAATGGTATTTTTCTTGTTATTTCACTAGCAGGTACGTGTTCCTCTCTAGTGGTGTACACTGTAGCTGTGCAACTTCACATCTATGTTCCTGGGCCAGATATCTTCAGATGTCCTTTAGTAAAACTGAAACTGGCACTCGTGTGGCATAAATAGTGTCTGTAGATGAAGTAGTAAAACTGGTCTTTGATCGCACATCTGAGTCATTCTAACATACCCCACAATAATCTAGTGTATCTATGTTTCATATTAGCTTATGAGACTAGATATTGAAGAACAGCACAAAGACAAAGCTCTTCTTGGTAAACCTTGATATTCCACTGAATACCTAACAAGATTGCCTTAAAAGTTCCGATGACTGGAAATTTTCCTAAATAGGAAAACTAAGGCCGTCACGATCACGGCTATCAGCGAATTGTGAGAATTTAAAAGAAAAATAGTAAGATTCCTTTCAATGGTAATTAGTATAATAATATCATGCCTTGGTGGAAAAACCATGCTATGTTAATATTAGTTGACAAATCAATTAACACAGGTATGATATACGAATTAAAGAACCAGGAGTCTTCACTCAAAATGGTTAAACACAGATAATCCCACTAAATAAAGGTTTTCAGCCGGGTCCACACACCTCAGACTTCGGGAACGGGGACGCATTGGTGTGTTCCTGCATCTGTTCTCAGTGGCGATGCTTTCAGTGGTACAGAAATGTTTCGATAAGAAATGTAATTCATCTGGCGTTGGTTGGTATGGTAACTGATGCAACTTCTCCTGAGAGGAACAGGATGACTGAAACAAACCAAAGTGAGATTATATGACTACCTTGAAAAGAAATTCCTCAAATGAACAGGAGACCAACACGCTGGACATGGGTGATTTTATAGTTTCCAGATAAACCATTTTATAATTTCCTTTTCATGCTACAGTTATGAGAACTATGACCTAAATGACCATTGACGCTGTCTCTAAAACGTCAAAATGCTTTCCATATTTCACCCTATTTGTTTACAAGACAATTTCTCAAAGTACAGTTTACTGTTGGGAGGAAACCCAGGCTCTGAAAATGGATAGGACCCAGTTAAAGCCAAAACAAGAAAGACACAGTAGAGTGAGATTTGAGTGCATTACATCACAGGTGAGCTCTCGACTGAGTATGGTCAGCCTTATCTCCTGCTACCCACAATCAAATGCTGTGACTTTTATGTATGTACCACATTTAAATTATTATTAGTTTTTTGAGATAGAGTCTCACGTTGCCCTGGGTAGAGTGCCCTGGCATTATAGCTCACAGCAACCTCAAATTTTGGGGCGCAAGTGATCCTGTTGCCTCAATTTCCCAAGTAGCTGGGACTACAGGCAGTAGGCCACAATGCCCAGCTGGTTTTGTTTTGTTTTTTTTTTTAAGAGATGAGTTCTCACTCTTGCTCAGGCTGGTCTTAAACTCCTGAGCTCAAACAATCCACCAGCCTCTCAGAGTGCTAGGAATACCTGTGTGAGCCACTGCACCCGGTACCATATTTAACTTATATGATGTGACATCATAAATAGGGTAGTGAAACCTCTTTTTATAATGCATGCTGCCCTTTGATGCACTTGCCATCAGTATGTGCCATGGGTAAAAACGGGGAGGATGAAGACGAAAATCATCACTCAGCACTTGGAACAAGGTACTAAAGATGAACAGCTAAATAACACTGCTTTTACTCCATTTAACTATAAAACAAAGAAATTACTTGTTTTCACTTTTAGTGGGAGGTAAACTCTCTGATCAGTTCTAATAAAAGCGATGGAGATATTTTTGAGTGTGAGGAAACATAGAATAAGCATATTTTGAAAGATAGCACCCATTTGAAAATGTCAGTTCTCATACCATTTTTTTTAATCTGTCATTAAAAGCACCCTTCATAAATACCAAAGCATTGCAATACAGCAGCCCTGGAAATTAATAACTAAAGCTTATAAAGACCCCTCCAACTTGAAATTCTAAAATGCCTTACTAAGTATTTACTGTGTGACAAAGAAGGATTTTATAATGTAGTATGATTACTTTATAAACCATTAAAATGAGAAGATTACAAGAAAGACTTATGAGATGAATCAAAGCTCAGTTTAGAAACTACAGGCACAGCCTTAAAACACTTTCACTATGAAAAAAGGAAAGAAAACACACGAACTAAAGTCAATTCAAGAAATTAGAAAAATAATAATAAAAAAATCAATGTAAGCAGGAGAGAAACAGTGGTGATAAAAGCTAAGATAAGGAAATTGGCAAGGAGAAAAACAGAATTAAAAATCTATAAACACATTTCAAAGGCAAATAAATGTCTTCAATCTTGTAGCCAAGATTTCAAAACCTATGAACCCAGAAGTTCGTCCATAAATTTACAGTGATCTCTTTTGGTGGCAAAGCACCAACTGAACTGATGAGAAGCTATTTAAAATATTTATTTAATCCACTTAGTACGAATGTTGATTCAGCTTGCTGTAGAAATATCAATATATTTGACTATGAACCACTAGTCCCATCATGGATCGTACAGGGACTGTGTTACCTTTCTAAAAGTGAAAATTCATTCCAAAACATACCAGGCTCTAGAGTTTCATCTAAAATATTATGGGTCTGTACTTGCATGAGAACAATATCAACCAGCTTCAGAGAGGTGTCTCTCGTGGAGGAAGGGAGGAGAAAGGGTGCACAGGGGCTTTGGTGGTTATTCTTCAACATTTTTCCATTAAATGAAATAAAATGTGTTTTTAAAAACAGCTGTAGCAAATATAACAAAAGTTAACAGCTGTTAAATCTAAGGAATATTTTGTGATTGTATAATATACACAACCGGATAACTACAAGGAATTCAGCCCGTGTTTAGTGATGATAATATGAGAAACTCAAGGATGCAGCAGTACAAGTAAGTGTTAGCGCCTTCATAGTATGGAAGAAAGTAGGGGCAAGCAGCTTCTCTGGGGAGAGAGCCCCTTTCTTCCCAGCTGGAATAAGCAAAGTGTAAAATGGAAACTGGGTCAAACCAGACTGACATCAGGACGAGACTAGAGCAGCGGGAACAAGTGTCCTTGGCTGGCAAAACGGCCTGGGGCTGATTCAAAGGGCACAAATGGGGCCCAAAGGGTAACTCGTGTTGGACAATGGAGAAGGACAAGTTCAATTTCTGCAGAGAGAAGGAAGTCAGAGGACAGCTTCAAAGCCACTGAGGAAAGCTGCTAAGGACGACAGAGGAATCCAAGTGTCGTCCCCAAGAACTCATACAGTCACTGAAGAGATGCGTCGAGGTGTCTGTGGACTACCTCTGAGAAGTCTTTCAAGAACTACGTTGTGCTCTATATAGCTCATTGCTGAAGATCACTATGGTTACCAGATGGCCAACGGGAGGACCTGGAAGGTGACCACAGTGATATTCAGCAATGAGGCACGAAAGTACTTTTCCTACGATGAGTTTGTGGACTTAAACTGTCAGGCCTTGTATGACAAGAGCTCTGGTGGCCATTCCAGAAAAGAGTTCCAAAATTGTTCTGAAGGACAGACTAGGTGCAGGTGGCGGTGCCTAGCTTCCTGAAGGGCAATACTTCAAAGGCGACTATAGTGATAATTCAGCAACGAGCTATGTAACACTTTTTCTAGGATGAGTTCATGAATGTAATTGTCTGACCCCACACATGTGTATGAATAAAAATTGTATCCCAGGGCTTTTTCTGTAGGCAAATGTGGAAGCAATAATCCCATTTGACTAATGGGAAGGTTTAAGAAAGCCATCTAAATTCCTTAAAAAGAGCCAAGAGACTGGGCCTAGACTGCTTACTGTATTCTTTGGGTGGAATAAGGGAGTGGCAAACAGTCTGAGTTAATTCTCTATATTTTAGATTTCCTATCCATAAAATGAGGAAAACCATGGCAATTATATTATAGGCTCTGTGGCTAGGAGTCAACAAACCAATGCATATTAGTTAAACTCATGCCTACCGTGTATGTACTTGTAAAAATTACTCAAAAAATTCCTTGTCCAAAATGTGATCTGAGTCTATGTGGCACACACTTTATAGACTCACTTTTAAAAATGGTGTATGATTTACTAATTAGAGATGGGAAGAAGATTGTTTACTCTCCTTTATTTTTCTTGTAAAAGAGAGATTTCTGCAACCAAGCTGTAAGAAAATGTGACTGAAGGCAATACAAGATGAGACAGCTGAAATAGAAAAAAGACTCTGGGGTTAGGAGACACATCTAAAACAACCAGTGACAGCTGCTGCCATAATAATCAAGAAGGACTTCGCTATTATTTAGTGACGAGTTTATTCAGTAATGCCATTCAGGATTTTTAAGCCTCCTTTCTGATGTGAGGTTGAGGTATCACTGAAATTACTCAAGGCTAGGATGTTGTTAAATGTACTCAAGGCTAGGATGTTTTAAATGGACAGTAAGTTACTGTATCACTACAAAATGGAATAATGGATAGATAAATTACCTCTCTTCAATAAAATATTACAAGGAGAGGGTAAAAATAATCCAGCAGATTTTAACAACTGGGTTTTAAAAGCGCTCCAGAAAACCCACATGATAATCGGAATTCTGGAAACACAGAACAAGGTGGGAGTGAGATCAGTTAGAGTTTATGTCACTACAGTTTCTTGTCAACTCCAGTGTTGCTAAGTGGCTGAATCTATGTGCTTAACACAGTGCTGGGAGCTGTGAAAAATACAATAGATGGATATCCCTACACAATGAACCAGAGAGTTTGACAAAATGAGGAAGGAAATGAATCAGAAGGCCTCTCGAGCCAGAGGACCACATTCCTGGCTGGTGCAAGGGCAGCCGGATCACCAGATCACCTCATTCATGGAACGCCTACAACGTACTGGACCTTTCTAAATGAACCTGGGTTCTAAAGCCCAACAGATACACACAGCCCACAACATCACCAGTTTAAACAAACCCAGCATATATTTAACCTGCTGAACTGTTTCCAGTATTTGCTAGGCCCTGTGAGAAAGGTACTGTCTGGGGCAAGAGCACCCTTTTCCCTCTATCCTATTTTCATGGTTCTACCTTATCTCTTTATTTTTCTTAACCTTCTTTTATGTTGTTTTAATCTCTCCTTAAAAGAAAGTTCTTATCGGGAAGGCACAGATAATTTAAGGCAGCGGTTCTCAACCTTCCTAATTCTGCAGTCCTTTAAGACAGTTTCTGTGGGTCTTGACCCACAGGTTGAGAACCCCTGATTCAAGGCTTGCCATTTTTTTTTTTCCTTTGAGGGGGAGAGATAACAAAACAAACAATTCTCTGTCTGAGCCACATAAGGAAAAAGACCCAGTCCATCGAAGTTTAATGGCATTTTCAGCACTAATATCACTGGCATGGAACCAAAGTAATGAGACCAGATTGTAGAGTTTTCACCCCCAAAACTACACCAAGCGGTTTTAGAATGAAAGTTCCCAATCTCCTCCAAACTTGCAAATCCTGGAGCTTACTCAACGTTTGCACTGCAGTTTAAAAGCTTGCAGCCAAAGTCTGTCCTTTTTGGGCTTATCAGGCCATTATTTGACATATCCCTTACTCAGAGTGGCAGACTTGCAAAATCTATCTCCTCCTCCCTACCAGGAAACACTCAGAGAATACACTGCCTGCATAACAGCTCTGTGGTTGTGAGGGAGAGAAAAAAATGTCAGGCACTTACAGACACCGTAGAGCTGGGTGTGTTTGTCCCATAGCCAGAGGAGGGGAGAGAGGCCAACGACCAGCGGCGTCCATCAGTCCTATTGAGAAAGTGAGTTTAGTTTAGGCCAACATTGGAGTACTGTTAACATGGGAACCCCAGGGAAACCCAGTATTTTTAGTCAAACACTGACACAACCAGAGTCTGTGAGGATGTGCAAACGTTCAGGAAGGGTCAGGGTAAACAAACATTATACAGCAGGTTGACTTTTATTTAAACTGAATCAATACGCCCAAACAAGTAGAAAGTGAATGGGCTGATCCATAATATTGATCTCTCACTAATACACGTTGACAAAATGAATACCAGGGATAATTACAATGGTCAGACTCAGCAGATTCGAATGAATAAAAACAGAAAGGGAGGAGGAAAAACCCCCTCATCTGGAAACTCATACCCAGAGCCAACGATCTCTGCAAGGGCCTGAATTCCAACGTGGCACAGAGCCTGTGGTGAATTGCATAGCACCCTAAACACTTTCCGCATATTATATCATTTTCCAGGGAACAGTTCTACTCTTCACGCCTAGGGAAGAAGGGATCATTTGGGCTCATGGCTGGATCAAGCCTGAAGTGGCCAATAACTTTAGCATTAAGAAAGTGACTGATCTATGCTCAGAATCTCTTAAGAGTTATAGCCCTCTGACATGACCTGGCTTCATGAAGTGTTACAGCAAAAGCCTCTCGCTGAGTTTCTGAGCCTGCAGCCCAGCTCTGGCCAGGGATAGTAGGGGCAGAATGAGAAATTCTCCACTGGTGATAGAACTTAAGGCAAAGAGTAAAGCTGCCTGCCCCAGTCTTAAAGGCAAAGCTGTCAGGAGCCATGAAGAGAGTGGTTTTATCTCTCAATGACAAGATGTATAGCTTCTGAGTTAAACTCTGGTTATGAATCAGGGTCCTTATAAGGGTCTCCGATGAGTTAATACAGTAGCAGAGATAATACGACTGCAAGGGCAGGAGCACAAGAGAAAGCAAATTTCAGGAGATCTCTGGCATTGCAGACCTGTCACTTCACTAGCAATTTTGAGTAAGACTGTACCTTTAAAGTCACAGGACATTGTGAAAACAAATACAGGCAAATGTGCCAAGAGGCAAACCAGGAAACACACACTTTATAAAGAGCAATACTGCAAGATCACACATAAGTATTTTGTAATTCACCATGTGAGAGATAAGAGTGGACAAAAATTTATCAGAGACGCACTCACAGTAAGTTGAAGTCAGAGAATTCAAATCACTAGTTTAAATTAGACAAAGATCACCATTTTAAAAACTCATGTTTTAACCTAAATTTACATCCAAGGGAAAATCAAATAGGCTGCTGTGGATGCTACCTTCAATACAGGCAAAAGGGCAAAATCACAGAACTACTGCAATGTTAAGACTTCAGTACAATTTACATTTCTGCACCGTGACTGGAGTACAATTGTTACTCCAGTAACAATTTTTTCTAATTATGTTTAAAAAAAAAAAAGAAGCAAAATAAGATGTAAATATGCCAGATACAAGAGATTGGGAGAACTAGGTTCTATGTTCTTTAAAAATATTTTAAACAGGGCAGTGCGTGTGGCTCAAAAAAGTAGGGCGCCAACCCCATATACCAGAGGTGGCGGGTTCAAACCTGGCCCCGGCCAAAAACTGCAAAAAATATATTTATATATATTTTAAACAATTAAAATGTTAAAGGTTTATGAAGAAGATAATTGTAATAACATGTTTATAAAGTTGATATCTATTTAAGGGCCACAGGTTGAGCCTATTTATTAAAGACTTGAAAATGCATGTCTATACTTTATATTTTAAATATCTCCAATTTAAACATGTAAGAAAAAGGTATGATTTTAAAAGAATTATTCAGTCCATTTAATAGCAATTATCAGGAACTAGTCTCTGGAAAGAGTGAGGACACAATCTCCCCCACCATGATTTTGTTTTGTGATTCATTAATTCTCCTTTCCCTCGGGTATCAATGAACATATTTCAGATGAATGAACAATTCCAAGAGGAGACATGTTCTTATTAGTTCTGAAGCATAAATTACATTTGCTCGCTCTGGAAAACACACAACTAGAAAGATGTTTAAACAAGAATGCGCCGAGTACTCTGTACAGCCATGGACCAGAAATAATTTATGTCTCATAAAGTTCCCTAAGTCGTCTGTGTCTGTTTACTCAAATGGAGCACAAAGGACCATTGCATTTTCATTACCATGACAACGGCACATCAGAAGTTACTATATATGTTATACGCAGTACTTAAGAGAGATCAGGTCCTTTTTTCAAGAAAGCTATCACACAAATGCAATTTGGATCCTCCTAACAACGTCGTCTTTTCTTTGCAGAAGCTACCAATAAAATGTCATCTGAAGGTAAGTCTACACTGTCGCCATGCAATAAGACTTTTTTGAAGAGTCTTTGCCCTGTGGGTGGCAAGCTCAGTGCTATGTTAAATGAAATAGGAAGAAGGGAAAAATATCTAATGGGAACATAGAACACAAAGAAATGGATTAAAAAAACATCATTTCAACACCACTCACAAAAAGTTACAGATTAATACGACAACAAAGAATGAAAAGTCTCGATATCAACCTGGCTATCACAACTGTACCAAGAGGAAGTCAATTTTTTTTTAATTTAATTGTTGTAGTCACTGGGGTGATGCATTATATATTCTAGTTGATACTGAAACAAGTTGGATTATGCCAGTAAGATGTAACCAACTAAAGGAATTCTGAAAGAGTAACTAGGAGGTTACTGCCTACCAGTATTCAACCTGAACCAAGCAGGCAAATCTGTTCTGGTAATCTCCTTATAGAACTAAACTCTGAGATTTAACCTGGTGAATGATACCTACTAAGTGAGAGAGACCCAAGGCAATTATTCTAAGGGCTCTGTATTTCCTATGGAAGTAAAAGCAATTTCTACAATGTAAAACTCTGCATCTTCTGGGAAAGGTAGGGCAATATTACCACCTTCATCTCATCACAAAGGAAAAAAGTAACTCCACAAACAGGTAAACTGTAAATAAGTACGGCAATTAGCAATGTGCAAACACGTTTCCTTGCTCCAGGCTGTGGTACTCATTTTAATCCTTTATTTTAGCTTAATATTAAAAGATTAACTTGATAATTTTACTCTCCAATTAGAGAGTATGGAAAGCAATGCACGTCGCCATACTTTCCGGTATACAATTAGATAGTATATTATAGGAGATGTCTATCTACTAGGTAGTATTAGCGCATGGTACAGGAAAGATCAGGAAAGATTAATAATAAGCCTGACTTTTATCCCTTTGCCTAAGACTAATTTCAAAAACAGAGGACTCTTTCCTTTATTAGACTAAAGTTAAACAAAATGTGGGCGTATCAAACCAACACTATTTCCTAAAGGCTCAGAGATTAACACCACGTGGAAGGGGATTAACACCCACGAGTGGAATCTCCATGTTTCCTGCATGGCAATCAACTCTAAAATGAAAGAGAAAGACCCCAGGTGTTAGATAAAAACATACGAATTTTAGTTTTCATAATTAACAGTGCGTTCATAACTAACACAGGGTTCTGTTTACTCGAATAAAAGTTTAAAAAGATGATCACTCACATCCTAATCTAAATTAATACTTTTTGAAGAGTGTGGAGGGAGTTCCATCTGGAAATTCATGCAAAATGAACCAGAGGTCTCCTGTGATAATCTTCTGTCACGGTTTATGGTTTGTTTGTCAAAAATTAACATGCCTGGGGGTTTGTGTACTTTTTTTATAGCACAGAAACCAGATTGATCTGTCCTCTAGTCACCTACTTAATTATTAGATCCTCTTCATTTTTATAAATCTGGCAGGATTAAGACACTATGATTTCTGTCATGTTTAAATGCACTCTGTAATGAGATTTCCACTTTTCTTATTACTTATAGTAATTAAACGCATTCCCCCTTTGTATAGATGTGTTTTAAAGACTATGGTGGGCACTTATTTATCAATTTTTATAGGATTTCTCTTCCTACTTAAAACAGAAGTACCATCGGGAATTAATATTCTTTGGGCAAAAAGCCTTTCCAGCTAATTTTCACATTTTCTTTACAGTCCTTAAAGTAAGGCACTAAAAAAATAAAAGCGGGCATTGGGGGGAAAAAATCAAAGTGTGGTTCTCAATAAGTTCTTTGGAGATAATATTTTAATCACTCTGTATCCCCTGGTAGAATACACATATGCATTTAACATATGATGAGAAATAACTAATAAACCATACTTTTTGGTGAAATTTAAAGGAATCTTAATTACACAAAATTCTGAAGATGCTGCAAACGTATCCTTTTCCCTGGGTTTCTTTCTTCTTTTCTTTTCTTTTTTTTTTTTTTTTTGAGACAAAAAAAATCTGTTTCACTCTGTTGCCCTGGGCTAGAGTGCTCTCGCATCATAGCTCATGGCAACCTCAAATTCCTGGGCTCAAGTGATCCTCTTGCCTCAGCCTCCTCAGCAGCTGGGACTATAGGCATCCATCACCATGATGGCTAATTTTTCTTATTTTTCGTAGAAACAGGGTCTCACTCTTGCTCAGGCTACTCTCGAACTCCTCAGCTCAAACAATCTCCTACCACAGCCACTCAGAGTGCTAGGATTATAGGCATGAGCCATCATGCCCGGTCCCTTAGATTTCCTAATATAAAATGCATTACATGTTAATGGAACACTGCAAGTTTTATGTAAGAACAAATATACAGCAGGTACAAGAAAAAAAAATGTATATACACTTTAAGAAAGGAAGAAAAACTATTAAAATTGTAACATTCAAGTCACATTTGACTTCTGCAATTACAAGAGATACAATATACAAGATAACAAACATTATTGACAAATACCGAGTATTACAATTTTAATTCAGTTTTTTCCTTTTCTGATTGTATACACATTTTTTGGCACCTATATTTTTAAGCCTACCCATGTGTCTTTATTAAGTGCTACTTTCATACACTTCAGGATATGATTATAATCTCGAGGAAAATTTAGCAAATATCTAGGACATTCAAATAATAAACCAAATTTATCCTGAATATTCAGAAACCTGGCTGAAAGGGCATTTTCCTTTCTTGGTATTTCTCCTGGGTGGAGAAGGATAAGGTGTACACATGTGAGGGGTGGAGGAGCCCAAAAAGGAGAAGGTTGGGCTTCAGGGTGAAGTATACTAATTCCACGTGCAGAAGGCAGCAGAAATAACCACGTATACATACCTCTTTGGCTTAGCTAAAGCATAGAAAAATCCCTAACTGAAAAGGTTTGACATTAGATCACACACCCACCATTGTCTTCAGCAACAAAAGCTTCCTCTTGACTCAATGACCCAGATATGACACATATAGCTTTGATATTTGGTGCCCCGAACTAAACACGACAGGAAGAGAAAATACAAAACATTGTCTAGCTCACCGTGGCCTTCTCCTCAGGGGGATCAAGATATTGCCAACTTGATGCTCTTAAACAGAGAGGCATCTCAGATGTGACCCCAAGACAGTCATTTTTATAAAAAAATATTTCGACGATAAAAAAAATTACACTAGGATACAGATGAATCCAGTCTCAATACTATCAGCTCAGAAAATCTGGTAAAAAGTACTTGAGCACCAAGTACAGGCCCTGAAATAGGAGTGGGAGAAAAGAGAGGAAGGGTAATCTCCTGCCCACACTGGGAGCTCACCATCTTGGACTATCTAGCTAAGAGCCAAGAAAGGGGGTGTAACTAACTAACAGCAGAAGGAACTATGAAAACTGTTGAAGCAGGTGTGTCACAAGGAAGTTCTGCGGTAGCCTAAACTCATCTGGCCAGGGGAGCTTCAAGAAGGCCTTACACAGAGCAGGACAGAAGGCAGGGGAGGAAGAAGCAGGATCCTCCACACGGCGTCTATTACACCACTCACAGGAAGCGCTTACCTCCGGGCAAATGAAAAATGGGCTGAGGCACTGGGGGAGAAATTTCTTGGACTATCTTGAGGGCTATTTCCTATAGAGAGAAAGAAAAGAAAGATTTACAACGTGAGTTTGTTTTAGTATCGTTATCCACATCTAGAATCATTTTCTCCTTAGGAGTACACTTCTTTACATTTCTGTAAAATGTCCTTTCCCCCAGTGTTTTAGTTTTATCTGAAGCAGGGATCTGGGGAAGAGCGGAGCCCAAGTTGCAGTGCAGTTTTCCAAGCGTACAAAGATACACGACCAAACCCATTCACTTACATCCCTAGGCAGTTGTCTGCCATAGATGCAATCTTATAAATATTTCAGTCCCATAGGATAATGGATATATGCATGTCTTGGATATGACCCTGCAGAGGCTAACATCTCAAAGAGCAGATGGACGGGTAAGTGTATGCTTCAATCAGGGGGCAGGGGAAGGGCTTTCTAAATTTTAGAGAGGCAGCCTTAGTATTTTTTATTTACAATAGACTGAATGAAATCCCCAGCACTCAAAGATAAATCCTCATGTTCCGAAGTACATATTTTAAAGGTACGTGTGTCAGAAGTAGTCGTAAAATACTGGGAAGAATCCAGCAGTTGGGACCCATCTCCAAAACGATCCAGATGCGGCTTGGCACAGCCGTGCGGCCCAGCAGGATTACCCTTGTCAATATTTTCTTCAACAATCCCTCTGCTCCTGAGCAGCTGGGCTGTGACTGGCCATCAGCCTCTGAAAGCTACAGCCACACAAAGGCTGGCAGAGAACGTCTCCCCAGGTCCTTCAGAGGCAAGACAGAGCTCCAACTGCTCGCTGGAAGGAGGGCAGCCCCTCTGGGGCTTGTTACTTTCTCCATCAGACCACGCAACCTGCTGCTGATCATTGAGAAAGCTTGGCAGGCAGCTGGTGAGGGCAAGTTCAGGACACTCCAGACCACCCTGCTTCCCCCTGCATGTTTAATTAGATTGGCAGAATTGTCTGAGGACCGCATGAGACTGTCGTTGGTTTAAATAAGGGGGTGAGGAAAGGCTGCAAAGTGATCCTGCACATTCTTGGAAAAGGGAAAGTAAAACAGGAAGGTCGGTGGCCCCATCACCGGTTTCTTAATGAATGCGACTACTGTAATTAGGCATAAGGAATACAAGAGTTCATGTTCAAGTCAGTACCTGGCTGTAAAGGTAAACAATTTATTACCAGTGTGTAGAAAGAATAGGTGAACACATTAAGAAGCTAAGTCTAGTGTTACTTTGAAGACTTCTGGACTGGCTATATCTCTACTGAAAATTTTCAATTAACTTAAGGTTGCAAATTTTATAGTGATGTCTTCAACAAATGCCATTAACTTTATGACAGACAGCACAATCACAGCCATTTAACAGGGAAGCGCTGAGAAGCCCACTTCTTTATGGATAGAGAATCATGAAGCATTTTCCCGCTGCTGCAATGAAATTTATCATGCCTTTGCATCTGCTGTTCCTTGGGCCCCTGGGAAAATGAATTCTGCTTTTGCCATCCAATAATCCAGGATTCATTTTGTCCATTTATCTACACAGCTAAATTAAGTTCTTTCAACTTCTCTCAACAGCCTTCATTCCCTTCTGCACCCTGAACTTAGCTTGTATATTACTCTACACGCTCCTTGAGAGATCTTGATAATTTTGAGATGGCTAAAAAAATTCTGTTTCCTAAAGGAAATTATCTAATACCAGAAATCTTCATATAGATTTTGTATTTCATTGGGGAAAAATGTTCCCTTTGCTCATACACCATATAGGGCAAACTACCAGTAAATTACTAGGAATAACAACAACCAAAAAACCTGATTATTTGAAGCCAAGACATTTTTATAGCAATCCCTGGTACCCTATTCATTTAAATGAAATAATAAGAGCAATGAAATCTGGCACCAAAGTCTTGGCACTGTGTCCTTTGCAAAGAAAACACTAAATCTGCAGATTAGGGTGTGATTAACTGGAACAAATAGAGATAGCTTATTAAATATTTTTTGAATCTTAAAAAGGGACATATAAGGAATTAAAACCATTTGAGCTGTTAGAGATTTTACTGAGTGGTTCCCAAGAAGCTATGTAACATTTTATAATGGTGACCAGTCACCTTGAGGATGGATAGGGAGAAACTTAAGAGCTAGGTTAATTTAATTCTGCTCCTAAAAAAAAAAAAAAAAAAAAAAAATTAAAGCCATCATTAACCATTCATTAACCATTCTTCATCTTCAGAGTTTTGCCCTCCCATTTGGGGCTGCCTTTTCAGGTCCATCAATTGAAAACTTTCTGCATTTTCTTCTCATCTACTCTCATGCTGCTCTCAAACCCGAATTCCCACATTGTCAAGACCATAGAGCCATCTGTATTATACTACTAATTGCAGATATTTGTTTCGTGTCAGATTGAAAAGCTATGTTGAAAGGCAAATACACACACGAATTATTATTAAGTCTTCTGTGTGTCTTGGGATGTTACAGAAAATGAATGAAGGTGAAGCAGGTTAGAGAAACAGATAATTCCTTCAGGACAAGAGACTCTAGCTCAAACTGAGGGAAATTCAGCAAGCTTTAGATAAGAGGACAAACAGGAGGAGACTTTAGGAAGGGGTTAGAAACAGCCCAAAAGCAGAAGGGCAATGCAATAGAGACAGCCTCTCTGGTCAGGGCATTCAGACCGGCAAAGCCAGGGAGCTGTGAACTGTGTTTATGGGTATTCACTGGTGGGAGGTCTTCAGAGATATTTGGGGCTTTTTGTTTGTTTGTTTTGTTGAGACAATCTCACTTTGTTACTCTGGACAGAGTGCTGTGGCATCATAGTTCACTACAACCTCAAACTCCTGGGCTCAAGTGATCCTCTTGCCTCAGCCTCCCAAGTAGCTGGGACTACAGGTGCCTGCCACAATGGTTGTGGCTGGCAGTTGGTCACAACTGGCCTTCCAGTTGGTTTTTCTATTTTTTGCAGAGACAGAGTTTCATTCTTGCTCAAGCTAGTCTTCTACTCCTGAGCTTAAGCAATCCATCCATGTTGGTCTTTCAGAATGCTGGGATTACAGATGTGAGCCATCACAGCTGGCCTCTTTAGGGATATTTGGAAGCAAGAGGCTTTGACCTTGTCTGATATATCTGGTTTGGGTAGACGGGGAGTAGCAGAGGATAAGCTGGAGTAAGACATGAAGGATCAAAAGAAAGGATATCTTGGTGAGCAAACCAAGCATGACTCACGGATTAGAAAAAAGGGGGCAGACTACAGACAAAAGGCGGCTGACATTTCCTCCGTGGGTGGACTGGGAGAAAGACTGACCCATCTTTTGGGAATTCAATGAAAAAAGTGAATTAGAGGCAGTAACAGAAGAAAAGCATAAATGAACATTCTGTAGACATTTGTGGCATGTATTATAGAAAATTCCTCACTTTTCCTGAGGGAGAAATTATAAGAATAGCAGATTAGACAGGTACAAGTCAATCTTTGAAGTCTTTGTTCTTATCTGAAATAAAAATTGATTTCTGCTTGGTCTCTGAAGACTTAGCAAGACTGTTTTGTTATGCACTGATCAAAATACTGCTAATTTAGATCAGGTCAAATTAGGAAGCACATCTTATATATTCTTAACTCAGGATGAGGGCTTGTCTGCACAGGGCCTCCCCAGGATGAGAGAGCAAGATGGATTGAAACCAGAGTCCTATACCTGACCTTCACTCCTCACAGCACTGCTCTCTGAATTCATCCTCCCATCTGCAAAGCAATACCTGAGAGACTCTCAAATGAAAACTGGTGCCAGTTAATTCTCTGCCCATATGTGCAGCACTTGCTTATAACTCAAATCCTGCTGCTCCCGGGGATTTGCTGGCTTTGGATGCGTGAGTGCTAGGACACTTTATAGACTGCGGGCATCGCTGCTGATGTTTCTGACCTGGTAAAGAAAAGCTGCGCAGTGGTCAGGCATTTGGTAGGTAATTAACTCCACGGCCTCCGTGGGGAACTAGCAAGGCTAATACATCTCAGCGTATGAAAATCATACTTTACCTAATGGCACTTCACAGGGTTCCTCATTTCAGAGGCAGCTATTGTTAAGAAAGTGATCTCCAGATTAATTAAATTGTTTGATTGCTTTGTAATTAGATTGGAGAAGTCCTGTGTCTTTGCCACAGAAAAGCAAGCTGCAAATCTTTTTAAAAGGCATATGCTATACCCTCTATAGATTATTAATGTGTTTTTAATAGCTGTCTATTCATAAAATGATAGTTTCTGATGCCTTGACTTTCTATCAGGGCTGAGGGAATCCAAGAACTAATGATAATTGCCATTTGCAACTCCAGGTGGATGGGAGAGAAGCCCCGTGTGAGTCCTTGATGTCATTACCTGATGATCCCCCCTAAATGGGTTGTGACGTTCGCACCATAACAATCAGTGCTGTGTTTCTTATTGCTTTGTTAGAGATTCTTGGTAACACACAGGCACTGCTTAAAAACCATAAGACCAGCCTTCCTAGAATCAAACCCTAGATCTCTATGCAAGATGAATACCAGCAGAGAAAGCAGATCCTGGAACACTACGCGGGGACCCACATGCTATAAATTAATAGTTCAGGCCTCCAGCGAAGTTCGCATATATCCCACCAGACCCAGACAAGGGACACAGAGGGAGTTAGAACCTTCCTTTCATTTAGACACCTGTCTCAGAAGCTGGCTCCTCTCCAGATACAGTTGTAGGGAATATTAATTAAACCTGGGCAGCTGCTTAGTGCAAAAAAGCCTTGATTGGCCATCAGTGGATCTGCAAACTGTAAAGTGTGGTTCTCAACTTGGGGGTCAAAAGACGCTTTCACAGGGGTCGCCTAAATACATCCTGCATATCAGATATTTACATTACGATTCATAAGAGCAGCAAAATTACAAAGTAGCAATGAAAATAATTTTATGGTTGGGGGTCACCACAACATGAGGAACTGTACCAAAGGGTCGCGGCATTAGGAAGGTTGAGAACCACTGCTGTAAACTGTTCACAGCCAGCCAGTGAACAGAAGTAGACTTACATGTTTGGCCTTTC